AGGCAATGCAATAGAAGCTGCACACATATGCTTATGTTTATATGTCAGAACAGGCACGTGCTTTTGAAACACTGAAAAGCCTCACCTTAAAATAAAATTGAAAGTTGGCTTCAAGCCTTGTGCTCTTTAGCTCATAACCAAACCACAGCAATTTTTTGCTATAAAAGGCACTCACTAGGATGAAAAACACCCTCACTATTAAGAAGTGCTTAACACTGCACTAAAACTGCTTTGGTGACCATACAAATAATACTGCAATTGTACTAGTCTATAAAGAGACATAAACAGTAGAGTGGATAGCCTTGCAAATCACATCACTTGGATTTTCACAAGAGAACATGGCATGCATCTCTTAGTGGCAAATATGTACTACTGTAGTACTGCCTATACTGTGCTTTTGCAAGGTGTACTTTAAGGCATCCCCCTGAAATCTCACTGTGGCTATGTAGTAGAAAACACGAAGAGGCCATTAGCATCTTAAAGACTAACAAAATTTGTGGCAAGGTATGAGCTTTCTGAAGAAGTGAGTAGTGACTCACAAAAGCTCATACCCTGCCACAAATTGTGTTTGTCTTTAAGGTGCTACTGGGTTCTTGCTCTTTTCTACTGCTACAGACAAACACGGCTACCCATCTGTGGCTATTTGTGTTTTATTTAATAAAATAATAATCAAAATTTCAGATTTAAAAATTTAAAATATAAATATTGGCACAGAAGAATAGTTTCTGGAACAAAACATTCCAAATAACCATCAGTCTTTGGTGTTACTTTAGTGTCAAGTAATGAGGTAAAACATTGTTCCAAAATTGTTGGGAATGTTGTAGCCCATTAACATGCTGTTTTGACATTACACTCTGTTTTGAACTTTTGATTTTATGACGTGTTAGCTCTTTTTCACTTCTTTTCCTTTCTTGATATTTATGACATTTGGTTTTCCTTCCTACTTCCCCCCCCTCTTCATACTCATTTTCTTCCTCTTCCCTTTGGTCTTTCTCCTCTTCTTCTTCCTCTTCCTCCTCCACTTCCCCCTCCTCCTCATCTTCTTCTTCCTCCTCCTCCTCCACTTCCCTCTCCTCCTCCTCCTCTTCCTCCTGCTCCTCCTCCTCCTCTTCTTCCTCCTCCTCCTCCTCCTCTTCTTCCTCTTCCTCCTCTTCTTTCTCCGCCTCCTCCTCTTCCTCTTCTATTTCTTCGTCTTCCTCTTCCTCCTCCCCCGCTTCCTTCTCTTCCTCCTCCTCCGCTTCCTTCTCTTCCTCCTCCTCCGCTTCTTCCTCAGCCTCTTCATTCTGCTCTTCTTCTCCCACTTCCGTTTTATCATCAGTCTCTTCTTCATCTTCCCCTTCTTCTTCATCTTCCCCTTCTTCTTCATCTTCCCTTCCTTCTTCATCTTCCTTTCCTTCTTCTTCCTCCCCATCTTCATCATAATCTCCCTCCCCCTCCTCTTCTTCCATAATTTCCTTTTCTTCTCCTTCCTCCTCCTCCTCCTCTGCATCCCCTTCCGTTTCTTCCCCTTCTTCCCCCTCCCCCTCGTCATCCTTTTCTCCTTCTCCTTCATCATTTTCCCTTCCTTCATCTTCTTCCTTCCTCTGCTCATTACTCTTGTCTTCATCCTTTTCTTTCTCTTCTTTGTCACTCTTACTTTCCTCGTCTTTCTCTTCAACCCATCTATTCTTCTCTTGTTCTTCCTGAACTACTTCCAGAAATTCATTCTCTTCTGTATTCTCAGTTTTATCTTCCTTTTGCCTCTCATCTACAAATTGTGCCTCCTCTTCTTGTACCTCATCTCTTATGTCACTTCTCTCAGTACTTCTTATGTCACTTCCCTTCAGGCCATGCTCATTTTTAACTTCATATTGCAACTCATCTTTTTCACCTTCATCAGTTTTATCAAAGGCTATTACAGCATCTTCTTTATTTTCTTTACCAATCTCATATTCACTTTCCTCATCTCCAGATTCTACTTCACTATCAACTTTCTCATTTTTACTTTTTTCAGTCTTTCCCTCATTTTCTATATTCTCTCCTTCTACTTGGGCATCCTTATCTGATGCATCAGGTATGTTTGTCTTGTCTTCACTCTGGCCTTTCATACTGATGTCTTCAAGACTCTTCCTCACTTTACAGCCATTTTGCTCTTCTTTCCATTTTATATTTCTATTTTCTACATCCATTTCTCTTTTTCTCATTTTGTCATAGTTGTACTGGTTCATTTGATGAAGATAGTTTGCTGAGCCGTTATTTGCTTCCTCACTTGAAGAAGACGACAAAGTTACTGCTATTTGTTTCATAAATTTTTCCTTGTTTTTTAATTCTCTCCGTTCTTCACTGCTTTCTTTACCTTGTACATATATCTTCCCATCTTTGTCAGATTTTATTACTGTAGCATCTGCTTTATTTTTCTCAAGATCCACAGATAATTGCTCCAATTTGTCAACAGTACCTCTTGCTGGCATTCCTTGTTGACATGGACTGGAATTTTTATCCACTTTTCCTAGTTTAAATTCATCTTTAATAGTCAGCTGAGTGTCAAACTGCAGTCCACTAACATTAACAGCCTGTTCTGATTTACTTTTGGCATTTTTCTTACCAGCCTTAATCCTCCTTATAAAAGCATCATAACAGCTCTTTTCTTCTTTTCTAAATAAACTTGGATGCACAGGCTCCACCTGGGGTGATGCATCACCTGATGCCAAATGTTCCTGAACTTGGGTAAGATCAGACTCTTTCAACCCTACAGTTCCATAAACGTTCAGTTTCACATTTTTATTTTTCTTCTATTCCATATCAGAAGCAAAAGAAAAAGAAAGAAAGGATAGCATTAAAAACAAAATGACAGCACATGGGAAGAAAGTAAACAAATCAGAATATGAAAAGTTAAGATGGATAGCTTGACATTATTGTGGTATAGCTTAAATGTAGACTACTTGAAGGAAATGTAAAATGTAAAAGACTACACTTTCTTTGCCTTACTAAATACATTCCTATTAGAATACATACATTAACATTCAGTAACTCCCAACGTATAGTATATATTTAATATTTACATTCATTTTATGTATTGCACTGTCTTAATACACACACACATCTAATACATACAGAGAGCTTGCCCACTCATATTTCAGTAGAGAAAACAGTACTGTGCACACATTCCTTCCCTCTTCACTGAGGCACATGGGCAAGTCCTTGCAATAAGCAGAAGTTCATGATAATCGGATAAGCATTCATGGCAAATACATAATTTTAGTTGTGAGCTAATAATATTAAGGTAAAAGGTAAAGGTTCCCTTGCTCGAAAGCCAGTCGAGTCCGATTCTAGGGTTGTGGTGCTCATCTCCATTTCAAAGCCGAAGAGCCAGCGCTGTCTGAAGACATTTCTGTGGTCATGTGGCCGGCATGACTAAACACCAAGGTGTATGGAACACTGTTATCTTCCCACCAAAGTGGTACCTATTTATCTACTTGCAATTTCTTGCTTTCAAACTGCTAGGTTGGCAGGAGAGCTAATAATATTACCCCTTTTAAAATGTTTAAATATTTAAAATTTTGCATAACTTTGACTGAGTTGTGTCCAAAATACTTTCTCTTAAGGTCCCACTGATTTCATAGTAGCAAAAGCATGGCATGAATGCAATATCACTTCCATAAGCAGTGCCCCTCTGAACATGGAGTACCACTTAGACATGGCTAGTACTTGTTAATCATGTGATTCCCAAACAAAATGGTGCTAACAGCATTTCTCCCTAGAGTTTTATAACTGTATAATGCACAGCACCATTTATTTATAGGGAATCTCCTGTTTTGTCCTATGTTTACTTTATTATAGAAAACAGGAAAGAATTTCATAATTGACCAGAATGTGCAAGGAGATATCCCAGCGTGTCTTTAGAGCACAAGCTATTTTTGTTATTGCTACATCAAGTCAGGGTGGTCCACTTCCAAATACTATTTTACAGAATCATGATTTCAGTATCTAACACAGAGGAGAACTAGAACCAATAAAAACTTAATGAAGCACTAGAAAATACTAGCTCTGTGGAAGGACTAATTATAGTTAATTGTCTCGATTTTAATTTCATTTTTTAGTACAAGTGGCATCTTAAAAATAATAGTTAATGTAACATTTTCTTAAGTAAGAGTGTGTGTGAAAATGCCATAAGCACAGTGCCTGAATCAAAAGTCCAGAGAGGAACAGATAGGGCTTCTAGCTGATGGCTGGTACCTGGAAAGAGACTGGGGGAAGGCATGAATGGGTGCTGTTGTGCTGACAACATTTTCAGGACAAACCTCTAAGTCAGGGGTGTCAAACATGCAGCCCGGGGGCCGTATCAGGCCCCCGAAGGACTTCAATCAGGTCCGCAGTGGAACTGGCCATCTCCTGCTTCCAGTTCTGCTGCTGCATTATAGCTTGCTTCGCCAGACTCTCTTAATCACTCAGCCATTTCATGTTTTAACCTGGGTCCTAGACTCAGAACACTGAGCATGAGATTTCCGTGGTGAATGTCAATAAATCAAAAGTAGGTTTACAGCTTACAGAGCTAGTGTTTTAAGCATGTTTTTATTTTAAGTAAAAAAAAAATCTTTCTGTTTGTGTCCTTTATGAAGTTTATATCTCCGCTACCTGGCATTGCATTTTATGACACACATGGCCCAGCCCAACAAGGTCTCTCATAACAAATGAATTCGACACCCCTGCTCTAAGTGATGTCACACCACGCTAGGATTCAGCAGAAACTCTATGATTTACCATAGCATTTGCACTGAATCATAAAGCAGCATGATGTCATTTCCGGGTTCATCTTGGAAGCAACATCACACTGTTGACACAGCACTGCATATAGTTTTATTGAGTCAACCCATCTACTATTATCAACTATTACTGAAAACACGATTAGAATTCAGCTGTTTATAAAACTGGCTAACTTATAGACTATTTCAAGTCAATGTTTTTACCTACAGAAAACAGGCAATCCTTTTCCAAAAATAATGTTTATAAATTGATAATACCTTTTGTTTTTGAACTGGTGTTAACTGTAGCGACTGGTCACTGGGATCCAGTTTCATCACATGGGTCTGAAAAAGTTTCAATGAGAGTGGTCAACAAAAGCAATTTGATAACAAAATAATATTTAATTTACTTTCATGTGAAAGCAACACTAAGCAGGACTACTCAGAAGCCTACCTGGATCCATTCAATGGATGATCTCAGAATACTTCAAAATTACTTAGGCTCACAAGAGAACCATTTACATTAGCCCAAAAATTAAATTGAATATTTTTCAAATCACTTAAATACTGTATCAGGAAGTCCCCAATAGAACCATAGTAGACTAATTTAGTAATATAAGGAAATAATCATGTGCTCAACGTATTAAAGTCAGAGGGAAAAATCAGGATACTGATTTTAATGTATACAAGTGGCTCTGAAGAAACAAATGTATAAATTATTGACCACATATTACTCCCGACAAAATGTGATTGTTCTTTTTTTATCATCACAAGATACAACCCCCCACACAGCAAACACTCTTTTTGTAATGTAATCTTGAATATATCTAAGAGCAAATTATTAAGCCTTGTGATCAACACTGTCTACACACTGTCTGTTCCCCTCAACTGGATTTTCTTTACCAGTGCTCACAGATAAGAAAGCACAAAATGTTTTCAGATATAGGAGTTCTGTAGTCTAGTATACAATAGTAATGGATCTACATAAGAAATGAACTACCAGCTTGCAAAACCAGAGATTATTACAAACCACCTCTGTCATTCATTTTAGTGGAGCAAAACCTTCAATAAACCAACATACTAAGCCTTCATAATGCCAGAATTCTGCTGTACAATTATAACATGGGGTTGTTTATTTTAATTAAATGGTGTTGCACAAAATTTAACTGGTTCTGCCTAAAGATACTGTTAAGTCGACTACTTAACAAAGAGCCAGAGAGTGATTTCAGCAAGTGATTCAGCTTTAATGAACGCAACCAGATCAGAACAACCAGAACAGATTTGCATTGCAGCTGGGCTTCTTTTAAACTCTGCGGGGCTAATGTAGCCACGCCTTACTGTACATAACAACCAATAGGAATGTAAGAATAATGTCCAATCACAGACGTTCCCTCTCAGGGAACTTGATGGTAGGTGATTGGTCGGCTCTTCCTGGGCTACCAATAGGGATTGCAAGATTAGGATCCTTGCCCAGGATGAAGCTTTACATGGTGTTTCAATGATTGAGTACAAGCACAGTTTTTCATTAACTTGAATACACCACAGATACCTCTAGGGTGCACAGGAGAGCCGAAGGCATCTGGATCAGGGCGGATCGGCAGTGCTGTTGTTGTTAGATCTGTCGGCCGCGTTTGACACGGTCGACCATAAGCTACTGACCCACCGCCTCGCCGACATTGGAATCCAGGGACTAGCCTTGCAGTGGCTTGCTCCCTTTCTCCAAAGTCGGGGACAAAGAGTGGTGCTGGGGAATCAGCTGTCCCAGAGGCACCCACTGGAATGTGGAGTGCCACAAGGGGCGGTGTTGTCCCCGATGCTTTATAACATCTATATGCGCCCTCTTGCCCAGATTGCCCGGAGATATTGACTGGGTTGTCATCAGTATGCGGATGACACCCAGCTTTATTTGTTGCTGGATGGCCAGTCCGACTCCAAACCGGAAGTCCTAGATTGGGCGTTACAGGCCGTGGCTGGTTGGCTTAGGCTGAGCTGGATGAAATTGAATCTGACAAAGACGGAGGTCCTGTGCTTGAGTCGCGGTGGTCCAGGGGTAGGGACCCCACTCCCAACCTTCGATGGGGCGCCATTGGTGCCAGCGCCGGAGGTTAGGAGTTTGGGGGTGCTCCTGGATGCCTCCCTAACAATGGAGGCCCAGGTTGCAGCCACTGCCAAGTTGGCCTTTTACCACCTTCGGCTGATAAGGCAGCTGGCCTTGGCAACTTGGCAACAGTGATCCATGCGATGGCCACCTCGACTTGGCAACAGTGGCAACTTGGCAACAATGATCCATGCGATGGTCACCTTGAGACTGGATTACTGTAATGCCCTCTACATGGGGCTGCCCTTGGTGCAAATCTGGAAGCTGCAGCTGGTCCAAAACACCGCGGCCAGGCTGGTGATGGGACTCCCAATATGGGAGCACATCCAGCCTGTGCTAAAAGCATTGCACTGGCTGCCTATAGCATACCAGATTCACTTCAAGGTGCTGGTTCTTACCTATAAAGCCCTTTATGGCCAGGGTCCGACATACCTGAGGGACCGCCTTTCCCCATATATGCCCCAGAGAGCACTGTGTTCAGGGACCCAGAACCGACTGGTCCTCCTGAGTATCAAGGAGGCCAGATTGGCAACTAGGGCCAGGGCCTTTTCCGTGGCGGCTCCACTCTGGTGGAATAAGCTCCCAGAGGAACCTTTTACAGTTCCACAGGGGCTGCAAGATGGAGCTCTTCCACCAGGCTTTTGGAGCCGCCACCACTGCTACCATCACCACCATCACTACTAATGACTGAGCCCGCTTGCAGGGAGGGCGAGGTAGAAATGTAATAATAAATAAATAAATAAATAACAACTGATAGTATGGTGGAAGCCCTGAGCAGGAGGTCCCCGAGACTATTGCCCGGTCAATCCTCTCTCTTCCCCATAATGGAAGCGGACCAATAGAATGACCGAATATTGGAATTTCTAGCATTTTAATATTGTTGATTTTAACATGTTTATATCATTGTATGGTTCATCAAATTAGTATTAATTGTGATGAATGTGTTTTACGTATTATGAAGTTTTATCTTGTTGGAAACCGCCCTGAGCCAGCCTAGGCCGGAATGGGCAGGATAGAAATCAATAAAATAAATAAATAAATAACTGTGGTGTTGCTGTAAATGGCCTAAGCGTGCAACATGAAAAGAGTTCCACTGCAGAAATTTGTTTTATTTATTAAAATATTTATATCCCACCTTCCCTCTTGGCTCAAGTCCTGAATGAGAACACAGAATGCAAGGATGGAGATAGAGTCAATGGTATTGTCAGTGGTATTACCTTCTAAACAAATACCACCCATCATCATTTCCTTCATGATTCCAAATTCAGTGTTAAGTATATAGAAATGGGAAATACTGTTATAGGAGCATACTATATACTGAAGAAATTCTATATTCTGAACAGCATCCTGGACTACCACCAGTGAACATGTTGTATGTTTCCATGTAGATCAATTTGTTTCTTGCTATTTCTTCAAACTGCCCCAAATATAAAAATAAGATGTATCAACCTGAGATGGGCTGACTCAATAAAGGAAGTCACGGCCCTCATTTCGCAAGATCTAAGCAAGGCTAGGCAAGGATAGGATGTTCTGAAGATCATTAATTCCTAGGGTTGCCTTAAGTCAAAAGCACTTTCATGCCCTTCTCCCACCTGTATGCCTTTCTTCAAATGTGGGAAAGGCATTTGGGGGGGGGGGTGGCCTCGCTCATCTGTGCCACTGCTGTGCACTTCTCGATCTCCCTTCCTCTGACACGCTGGCAGCACATGAAGCCAGAAGTGTGGGAAGGCATGCAGTCAGGCAGTGAGAGGGCTTGAGAGCTAACAGAGGAAGGATATGTGGATGGGGGAGAAGCATAAGCTGGTGGATGGGAAGGCAGTGCAAGCAGGGTGTGTGGGAGGGTGATCAAGGAGGAAGGACCCATGTACTTTCTGTACAGAGCCCCCAGAAACCTGAAATCAGGCCTCTGTAGACATTAAATGACAGACATTTTTGTAGAAGACCCAGTTCTATCATAATTTTGTTGATTAATAAAGTGGGTCAAGAATCAGAGAGTAATCAGAAAAACCACCAACACAGTTCTAAGCACATATATAATACAAACCATGGAGAATGTACACAACACCTAGAACAAGTTTAATAAATCAGACTATATGGTACTTCTTAATTTTTTTCAATATTCCGATAAAAATAGGATTTAGCAGATGAAAGAATGGTGGTTCTGATGGAGAAACAAGAAGACAGGGTCAGGTCCCCAGTCAAGAGAAATCAAGGACAATGAAATGCTTTCCTCGGGTATTAAGAGGTGCCACAGGTACCTTATGATAACAGTGGAAGCCTGTAGGGCAGGGGAGATATTTAATGTTGTACAACAACCACACTATAGAAAAGCAGTCTTACAATTTTGTGTAAGCTATATAATCAAAGGTAGATAGCTCACCATATTTAAGACATCTGTGGTGTCCCCGAGGTTTCTGCCCTCACTTGCATCATCATCTGCTGAACTCTCCTCTTCATCCTCACTCTCCTCTTTCTCATCGGCTTTAAAAGGGAACAGACCATAAGAAATATTTTAGTATGAAAAAGAAAGCCTGCAAATTCATATACTAATAAGGTAGGATGAAACAAAAGGATAAATCTTTATTATCATCATTACAATATTCAACCCAATCTAGAAACTGAAACATGTTCCTTTCCCAAAATTCTGGTAAAGGTGATTCTCAGATCTTTTATGTTACAGTTCCTTTGTCTGTCATATCTATCTGCATGCATCTAATTTCTACATATATATATATATTGGGCTGAGTTCCTAGCAGTAATTTTTATTGTAGCTGTAAGGATTCTCATGGTTCATAAAGTTCAAGATAATATTTCTAAGAACACAATGGAAAAAGATGGTCACCTGTTCCATAGTCTACAGCAGATTCATAGTCTTTATTTGTCTTAGCTGCCTCTGAGTTTAGAAGGTTTGCAGTGGGTACACCAAATGGGACAGTATTACTGATGACAACAGATGCAGGCTTCAGGGAACTGTCTCCAAGAGGAGGAAGTGTTCGTACCAATCGGCTAAATTGTTCGGGTGATTTTTCCTTGTTAAAGGTTTAAAAGAAAAACAGAGCAACTTTTAAGTCATTGTAAAGGTAATAAACCAAGGACAGGAAAAGAAAGAGTAAAGGAAAACCAGTAGCCAGCAGTGTGGAAAACAGATCTTAGTATGTAAAAGCATCATGTAGTGTATGTGCCCTGAAACAGTGAAACAGGGATTTCCAACATGAGTTTTGTCTCAACTCATGGTCTGAACTGGAAGTTGTGACATACTTTAATGCAAACAGAACCTGTACTGTGAATGACAGTGACCACGGTAGGCAGGTGTGATTGCAAGGTCAGCCCAGCAGGCAATGTGCACATAAAGGCATGACACATAATAGTGTACAATTTAACCATCCCTCCTGTTCACAGGATTATAGTTATATAATTTCAGCCTAATAGTCTTGTTTCAAATGTCTCCATATTCTCCTTCCTCAGTTAACACTTTGTTGAAACACAAAACTATGAACTGTGACAGCACACTTCTTTTTCTTTCCCCCCTCAAATCATAGAAGATGTTGCAAAACTAAAGTAGTAGTGAGTAACTAAAGACCAAAGAAATTAGAACATTTTTGTTATGGTGATAATAATAATAAGAAAGTAGCCAGGAAAAGAATGATTAAGATTTACCCGCTCTCTTCGTCGTATACGTGCAGATAATGATCGATGCAAGGTGTTTATTACTAATGAATCTATGCCCAATTCAGAAACTACAGTAGACAAGCCATGTTCATTTAAGTCTGGCACACGTATTTCTTCTGAGTCTTTAGGCCTTGGTGTGGCAAAAACCAGCATGTGGCAACCACCACAGGCAACCTATTCCACAAATAAAATTGAGGTCATTAACTCACATTCATGAGTATATGGGGGGGGGGACATACTAATCTGAAAGGATTTTTCTTGAGGACTAACTACAGACATAAAACATTCATAACTACAATTCTTCATCACATACAATGCATAAGTCATTTCAAAAGCAAAGCTGCCCAGTACTTTTGAGCTATATCAACATGACAACCCATCAATACCAATAGAGAAGAAACTAGGCCAATGGCATGCTATAAAAACGAGAAGCTTTTAAATCAAGTTAAATTTATTTATTTATTTATTTAGAAAACCCTATTTCTCTGTCTAGTCCAGTTTTCAGTAGGATTATATTTTGCATGGTTAAACAGTGCCAGGCCAAGCCAAAGGCACAGAAACAATTAGACTAAGGCACAGATGTGTCCAGCAACCCATCAGAATTGCCACAACAAGCCATCTGAGCTTCTCTCATGAAGGTAAGGGAGAGCAATGCACAGGGACTAGCCCTTAGCCCATTAACTTGAAGTACACTGAAAGGGTACCAAACTCAGAGAAAGTGCAAATATTTTACTCTGCAGTGATTACGAACAGAATGTGGAAGGCCTTCTTAGCCGCCTTCTGTCCCTGAAACAATTGTGTGTGGTATTGTTCAAAGCCTTTGCTGTGCCCATGAGAACACAGGAACATAAGAAGAATCCTACAAAAACACAGATCGCTCTAGGCATGTGGTACAAAGCCAATGCCAACAAGATATCCTCCAAGGTTTACAAACAATGTCACAGAAGCCAAAGCCACCCCCATTGTGGGTTCCCAGCAACTGGCATTCTGAATATGCAGGTTCCATTTAGCACTCATGGCCACTAATGGACTGATCCTCTATAACTCTATCCCCATTTCAAAGACATTTAAGTAAGTGCCCATCGCAACATATTATGGCAATGAATCCTACCAGTTATATATTAAGAACATAAGAGAAGCCAATATTGGATCAGGCCAATGGCTCATCCAGTCCAACACTCTGTCACACAGTGGCCAAAAATACCAGGTGCCATCAGGAGGTCCAGCAGTGGGGCCAGGACACTAGAAGCCCTCCCACTGTTGCTCCCCCTAAGCACCAAGAATACAGAGCACCACTTGCCCCAGACCGAGTTCCTATGAATACCTTATGGCTAATAGCCACTGATGGACCACTTCTCTATATGTTTATCCAATTCCCTCTTGAAGCCTGTTTCCCAGAGGCACTGCCTTTACTCTCGGGTAGCCCCAATAGCAGGGGCACCCCACTTTCTAACCTGAACCAGAGACCCACAAAACGCAGGCCAAGGAAGACACTCCTGGTTCTGAAACACAGAGCAAGCCATAGCTCTGGAAACAGGGTCTCCATTTTCAGCTGGCAATAAAAGCAACCCTCAGAGCAAACCTCCAGTCTTCTCCCCCCCCCCAGAAGATATGCATATGAAACGATGGCAGTTCCACCAGGTTAAAAAATCAACATTTTAAAAGGCTATTCAGAGGCCACCTGGCGAATAGCCCTCCTGTCTCCAGAACCTCAGCCAGCCCTTTTGTGTGATCTCATGTCTCTGTGTGAATTCTTTGTCTCAATACTTGTCCTTCCTTGCGCCATCCTTCAGGATACCGAGATAAACCAATCAAAATCTCCCATCTTTTGTCTGAATCTGGGAACCTACTCAACAATGGACATAAAATCCATTCAGCTAGCCCCAGTACAGTCATCCAACACCTGGCTTCTATTATTAATCCAGACTCTGCCCCTCTGAGATCTCATCGGTCACATCTAGGCCTTGCCGGTCCTGATGCCATGCACCCATGGAACTCATAATTGGCCCAGGTAATCTTTTGTCTTCACCTGAGACAAGCCCGTCAAGACCTCCTATTGGTCTGCATTGTTTTCCGATGTCTATATCCATCCAGGTACATGGCCTCAGACTGTGTGCCTCTGCCCTGATGCCAACTGGCAGTCCACCCCCAAACCTTTGGGTTTGGGACATAAATCTCTTCTTCAAGGACCTTTGCATGTCTGGACAGGTAGTATCCAATGCTCCCCCTAAGCTGTGGAGTTTTGTGAGGAAAAATTCTACTTTGTGAGCTACTGGCATTAAAGTTGTGAGCGAACGGTTTGGCTACTGCATAAATTAGTTTGCTCTGGAACCATCCTTCCTGAGCAGAGACAAAAATATGGGGGCTGGAGGCTAAAAACTTTGAATTAGCTCACACTAATTCAGCTTAGAGGGAACACTGGTAGTATCATTGCATAACTTACCCCTCTATTAGCTATCAATCACCTCTGCTTTCTTAGTTCTGTATTGTGTGTGTGAATGCTTGGTTATTGTTTGTATGCTTGAGAATATTTACTAAAGAAATCATTATTTTAGCTACCCAGTCTCTGTGTCTATTCCTAGGGTCTTGGGAATTCTGACTCCAGTATACACAGGTCATGATCCACGCTATATGCCTATTGCCATTTTATATTTATAATCCCCCAAGCTATTGTTAAGAATTAAGGCAATTTGGCTAACAGCCATCCATGGTTGTAGCTGCCACCACCTACTGTGGCAGTGAATTCCATGTGTTAATCGCTCTTTGAGTGAAGAAGTACTTCCTTTTATCCGTTCTAACCTGACTGCTCAGCAATTTGAGTGCCCACGTGTTCTTGTATTGTGAGAAAGGAAGAAAAGTACTTCTTTCTCTACCTGCTCTATCACATGCATAATCTTGTAAACGTCGATCATGTTACCCCTCAGCCGTCGTTTCTCCAAGCTAAAGAGCCCCAAGCGCTTTAACCTTTCTTTATAGTGAAAGTGTTCCAACCCTTTCATCATTCTAGTTGTCCTTTTCTGCACTTTTCCCAATGCTATAATATTCTTTCTGAGGTGTGATGACCAGAATTGCACACAGTGTTACAAATGAGGTCGCACCATCAATTTATGGTCAGTCTCTGCCAGTTCGGACCCCATCGACATGTATTTATAATTAGGATTTTTGGCCCCAATGTGCATCACTTTGCACTTGGCCACACTGAACCCCATTTGCCCCACTGATGCCCACTCACTCATCCTCGACAGATCCCTTTGGAGTGCCTCACAATCCTCCTTGGTTTTTATCACCCTGAACAATTTTGTGTCATCTGCGAATTTAGCCACTTCACTGCTTACTCCCAATCACGAACGAACAAGTTAAAAAAGCATCGGACCTAGTACTGAGCCCTGCAGTACCCCACTGCTTACCACCCTCCACTGTGAAAGTTGCCCATTTATACTCACTCTCTGTTTTCTATTAATGAGGCAGTTTTTGCTCCACAAGAGGACTTGTCCTTTTATCCCATGACTATTGAACTCATTTAGGAGCCTTTGATGAGTAATTTTATCAAAAGGTTTCTGGAAGTCAAGGTAAACAACATCTATTCGGTCCCCCTTGTCCACATGTTTGTTCACCCCCTCAAAGAACACTAACAAGTTAATGAGACAAGATCTTCCCTTACAGAACCCATGCTGATTTCAATGAGTCTGGTTCCTTCCCTGAACATTTGGTGATGGAGGGCCACTTCAGACACCCCTGCATCAATAGGTTTTGTTCATCAATGTGTGTACTAATTCTCTCCTTAATAACAGTTTCCACCAACTTACCCGGTATTGATATCAGTCTGACTGGCCTGTAATTTCCCGGATCTTCTCTGGAACCCTTTTAAAGATGGGAGTGACATTAGCTACCTTCCAGTCCTCAGGAATGGAGGCAGATTTTAATGAAATATTACATATTTTTGTCAGGAGATCCACAAGTTCTTTCAGAACTCTCGGATGTATGCCATCCGGGCCTGGTGATTTATCAGTTTTTAAGATGTCTATCTGTTGTAGGATCTCCTCTCTGATCACCTCAATCTGACTCAGGTCTTTCAACACCCCTCCTGAAGTCAGCAGTTCTGGAGTGGGCAAGCACTTCTCATCTTCCCCAGAGAAGACAGGAGGCAAAAAATGCATTCAGCTTCTCAGCCATTTCCCTATCATCCTTCAGTACTCCTTTTACCCCTTGGTCATCCAAGGGCCCCACTGCCTCCCTGGCTGGTTTCCTGCTTCTAACGTATTTGAAGAAAGTTTTATTAGTGGTTTTGCAATATTATAGGGAAAAGTATTTTCTTTTGACTGTCCTGACTCTGTATGTCTCTTAGATCTCCTATTTTCACTGAAGTATCCACAATCACACCAGGCATAGTTTTATACATCTCTATAAAGAGAGCCAGTTTGGTGTAGTGGTTAAGTGCACGGACTCTAATCTGGGAGAACCGGGTTTGATTCCCCACTCCTCCACTTGCACCTGCTGATGTGACCTTGGGTCAGTCACAAGCTCTGGCACAGCTGTCCTTGAAAAAGAGCAGTTTGCGTCAGAGTTCTCTCAGCCCCACCCACCTCACAGGGTGTCTGTTGTGGGGAGGGGAAGGGAAAGGAGTTTGTAAGCCGCTCTGAGACTCCAAGTGAAGGGCGGGGTATAAATCCAGTTTATTCTCTCTTCTCTTCTTCTATCATAACCCCCTTGCTTAGTCATCTTTTTCTAAACTGAAAGGCCTCATTGTTGTAGCCTTTCCTTGTTGTGAAGGTTGCCTTTTTCTGTACCTTTTCCAGTTCTATGGTATCTTTTTTTTAGAGTGAGGTGATCTGAATGGTATACAGTTTTTCATATGTGCCCACACCACAGATCTACACAGGGTGAACATGAAAGTAGTCATTTTGTTTAGAATCCCTTTCTCAATAATCTCTAGTACACAATTTACCTTTTTCAGCACTGTTGCAAATAGGCAACACTTTCATTGAGCTATCAGTCACAGCTCCAAGATGTTTCCCCTGGTTCTCTCCAAGGCCATTTTACCCTGTGATCATTTTGAGGACACAGGGAGGCTGACACTACTCATGGAAGGCCCCCTCCCCCTGTTCATTCTCCCTGTTTTCTAAACAATTTCATGGGAGGGGGCCCTCTCTCTTCATATTGATTTCAATGAATCTGATTCCTTCCCTGAACATTTGGTGATGGAGGGCCACTTCAGACACCCCTGCATCAATTGGGAGAAGGCCAAAAAACAGTAATCGACCTTTGCAACCATTTTGGTGGAGCAGGGCACAGAGGAGGAAGTTACCTCTCCCTTCAATGATCATTTCAGGGAAATGAAGGAACTGAGCCTCTTAAGCAGCTGAAGGAGGGAACAAAAAAAGAAAAGAGGCAAGCAAAGGATTTTTTAAAAACTATTCTCGTCTTCACTATCTCTTTCCATACCCATAATATGGTCTACCTTGTTAACATGTATTGTTTTTTTTAAAAAGCCATAAGAGAACATAGGTCAAAACCCTAAAATCAATAAGGGGTTTCATTATCTATTTTAGAAATTTACTTAAATATGCACATTCCTTTGAACTGTTTTTAGCACAAACACTGAAGCATTGTGTCCACAAACACAAAACAAATGGAAACATCTACAAATCTAGTTTCCCATCTAAGCAGAAGAAAGCAGTAAACTAGTAATCAGAAGAATTTAACATTTCTTCATTGCTCATCTTTAATTAAAGGACATAACATTGCAGAACAGATGTAAGAACTTTAAACAGGGTTTCTTTGAACACAACATGAAGCACACAAGAGGTTTTCAAAGCTTGAAGAAGAACAAAAGTCTTACCGAATGTACAGTAAATTTCAAAAAATTAGCACATAACGTAGGTACAAACTGATTCGTGTAATTTTCTTCACCAAGTCCTAACTTGCCATGCCGTCCATCGCCAAAGGTATACATAAGGCCATTCTCTAAGCATGGAGAAAAGAACATCTTCACTTATATGGAAAGTAGCACTGGACAAAACACCCTAGTAGCACCATCTAATCTAAGATCTTTTAGCAGAAGGAATTGCTTTATTTCCAACAGCAGCCATCCTAAAATATGTATTCCAACTTGTAAGACAGTATTTGTATTAAAAAAAGGGAAAGGGGATGAAGGAAAAGTAGGGAATGGCATGAAAACATAACAAAAACAGATCCATAATATGCTCAATTGGAAATGGTCAATGTCTCAATAACATTCCTTACAGTAAGAATTAGGAGCCAGACTTCCATGGTTCCAGCCTTACTGTGGAGTCCTCAATGCCATTCTTCAAACAGGTATTAAATTTTCAATACCAGATTTTACATGGCAGCTGCAACTATATAATTAACAGCACAGTTTGTAGAATAATGAAAAGGCAATCTATAGCTACTAAACTACACTAAATCTTTAGGAAGTCCACTCTGTTCACAACAAAATTAGATTAGAAAAGACAGCTGGAAGTTGCTCAGAAGAAATTTGCCGCAGAAATATCGCAAGCAGAGCCATAACTAGGGATTAGCAGATCCCTCTAATTTCATTCAAATCCAGATATTTTTTACCTAGGGTTTCAGTCCACCACTCACCCACTGAATTTCTTTTCTGAAGGAGAATATTAGAATTAACAACAACAACAAAAATACATTACTTACCATTCCCCAAGCATCTGTAGAGTTCAAGGAAAAACATTTAAAATCTCATAAAGCAACTTCTTTAACTCTGAAAATCAGAGATGCTAGGAAAAGTTCATACATGTCTTGCAAAATAATAGAAGCCGCTTTGTTTGTTGAAAAATGTGAAGGGGTGGCTTTTATGTTGTTGTTTTTATGGTACTATGGTGCAATTATTCACTTCTGCGACATAGAGCCAAAACAAAAATAAATATGAATTCCTTCAACTAAAAAAAGTTTTGGCACAAGAAAGATACTTTGGAAAGGATTTCTAATGTTTTGTTGCAAAAGTACACAACTGCATTCTTTTGTATCACAAAAAGAAGAAAAAATATAAAATCCTTAAAATTATCCTTTAATATTCCACCTCAAAATTAAATAGATACATTTCCCCCCAAAGGTTTCTTCCTATTCATTTCCCCCCCCTGTTTTGCAATTTAAGAGTGATTTTCCTAGGATCTCTGAGTGTTGGGGTCACAGATGTATGCACTATGAGATTTTAAAGAAACAAATTTCCACAATGTGTAATTTACACGGACTCTGAAAAAATTAAAACATGCTCTCCCCAATCAGCTTCTTATAGACTGCAATATATTATGTTTTAATCCAAAGAACAGTCCAATGAAAGGAAGCTGGGACTAGAATTGTGAAATCTATCCTAGCAGCATTTTACAAATATTCCTAGTCGCAGTTGATCCTTACATTTCATTTGAATGTCATTAACTGTGCATACATGAAATGTATTGAAGTCAAGAAGCGACATCTGGTGGCTATATTTATAGCTCAGAAAACATGATTGCTTCTCTGACTTCAGAGGCATTTTCAGAGTGGCAGCTGGGTGCCATGAGGCACACCCTGAAAGACCAATATTAATTAAAGATGCCTGAGAGCCTCTACAGATCCTCATATTTTCTGCCATTGCCATTTAAATCGCAAGTCAGTACACATTTATTTCCTAAACGGGATTATCCTGAAAACTGCTCAAGACTAGAACATCCCCATGGTCAGTCACTTGTATAGATACCTGTATTTAATCTCAAATAATCATTTCTTCCTCCGCTCATCAACAAAGGAATTCTTACACTCTTCCTGGGTCTTAGCTGCTAAACCCCGAAACAGTGTGGGCCCATGACATGTGAAGGATCACTTACTTTCACATGAACCTGCATAGAGCATTATGAGGCTTCTCAGATGTCTGGCTCTTGATACATGGTTGCTGACTATTGGAGATACTGCCTTCTTTGCAATAGCCCCCAAACTATGGACACTCCCCCTGTAGAGATTAACCTCTCTTTTCTCACAGTGTTTAAGTGGAAGGCCAAGACAGTTTACTACCAGGATTTTGGGAGAGCTCTCATTGTTTGGGGGAAACTTGACTTCACTTTCCATACCATGAGCTGTACACAGTTCTCTTAAGTGAGTGATTTATAATGGATTTTATACTATACAAAAGTATACAAACAACATTTTTAAAAATTCTAAGTAGACAGCATACATACCTGTTATCAAAGCTGTGTGATTTTCCCCACTTGCTATGTTACAGATTTTATGCCTCCCCAGATCCACAATCTTTGGTTCAGAAGTTTCAAAAATAAATGTACCATGTCCAAGTTGCCCATATTGGCCAAGCCCAAAGGTGTAGACATCTCCCTCTGAAAAAGGTAGATGACATTAATATTCTGTTTACAGCCCACCATATCCAGACTCAGGCAGGAAATGGGAGAGATTATAAAAGGAAATCCAAATTAATCTTGAATTGCTGGGCAGATACGAGCAAAGTGAAATCCCTTGGGACAAATATCAAGTATTATATCCATGAAAAAGATTTGTAGAAAATGCATATAAGACTGTTTTAGGGGTTATTCTAGTGGATAATAAACGTTGATACAGTATCAGGCGCTGAAGCCATGGCGTGGATTGCATAGGAGGACTTGGAGGGGAGATTAATGGTTAGATTCCCTGTTCAGAAATGCCTCTGTGGAATTACCATCAAAAACCATCAATAGACTTGGCTTTATTTAATGCAATTTGATGCAAACAGAACAGCTACTATGAAATCAGTCATCTGCTGATTCAGTCGTTCAGACTTTTTTGCAAAGCTAGAAAGTAAGAAATAAAAAGGTTTTAAAGAAACTTTTAGAATGATCTTGTTACAGTCTAGAATCAGTCTTGTGATGGCTACAGTGACTAAGAAAGTAACTGTTACACCTTGCCTGTTTATAATCTATACATTAACTGGTGGCTTTAAACACCCATCTTTTTGCTACCAAATTATAGGTCTGATTGTGTGGTGTGAAGAAGGCCTTAATGAAAAAGTAAATAGACAAAGGAATGGCATCTTTATTGTGAAACAGTCAGTGTCAGGGGATAGTGGGTCTATGTTATGAATACTGAGGTTTATACTATGTCCTAAATTTAAAAACAAAGTAATTGCAGCCCATATGCAAAAGGAGAGGAATAAGGAGTTTCTGGTGCTTCTTAGAATGGGTAAAAGCAGGGGTATTTTTGGGCAGGAACGCACAGGAACGGAGTTCCGGCTGGCTCCCAAGTTGGCCACGCCCAGCAGGAACTCATTAGCATAACAGGCCACACCCAACAGCAGAAACTCATTAGGATTGGCTTACATTAGGGGTGTGTGGCCTAACATGCAAAGGGGTTCCTGCTACAAAAAAAGCCTTGGGTTTTGTCAACAAGCAAGGTAAACAGAATAAGAAGCAAAAGGTGGGTGTGGCTGGATGACCACACTTCTGGTAACATGGGGGTGTAGCCTAATATGTTAATATGCTGTGCTGTCAGGGGTGTGGCCTAATAGGCTAATGAGTTCCTGCTGTTGGGTGTGGCCTATTATGCTAATGAGTTCCTGCTGGGCCTTTTCTACAAAAAGAGCCCTGGACCGTAAAAGGATGTCCACAGCCAAGAAAACAATGGGGTTATTAGCCATTGTTACCTTTAATTGAGTGTTTATGAACATTATTTGGACATCACTGCTATGAGACAATTGGTACCATGATGCTTATCAACCCATATGGCATATTTGATGACATAAAGTGGATTGTAAGTGCTTTCAGCTTTCCCCCATTTTTGGACAGAAATTGCTTTTCATAGAATCATAGAGTTGGAAGGGTCCTCCAGGGTCATCTAGTCCAACCCCCTGAACAATGCAGGAAATTCACAAATACCTCCCCCCCACACCCCCAGTGACCCCGTTCCATGCCCAGAAGATAACAGAAAACCTCCAGGATCCCTGGCCAAAGTGGCCTGGAAAAAAATTGTTTCTTGACCCCAAAGTGGTGATCAGCATTTCCCTAGGTGCATAAGAAAGGGCCACAAGAAGTAAGCACCAATGCAACCCTTCCTGCCCTCCCTCTCATGATCTGCCTAAGTTCACAGACTCAGCATTGTTGTCAGATGGCCATCTAGCCTCTGTTTAAAAACCTCCAAAGAAGGAGAGCCCACCAACTCCTGAGGAAGCCTGTTCCACTGGGGAACCACTTTGTCAGGAAGTTCTTCCTAATGTTTAGTTGAAAACTCTTTTGATTTAATTTCAACCCATTGGTTCTGGTCTGACCTTCTGGGGCAACAGAAAACAACTCCACACCATCCTCTATATGACAGCCCTTTAAGTACTTGAAGATGGTTATCATATCACCTCTCAGTCATCTTTTCTCCAGGCTAAACATACCCAGCTCCTTCAATCTTTCCTCATAGGACTTGATCTCCAGACCCCACACCGTCTTCGTTGCCCTCCTTAATGAGATGTAGAAGTGGGAAACTGAAGGGGGGGTCACATAAAAAGTGGGCAGGTGGGAAGGAGAGGAGGAAGGAAAAGATGAGGATGTGGGGACTACTAGGAGGAAGAAGAGAAAATACTGGGAGGGGCAATACAAGGCAAAATGAGGTACCTCCACCCATTGAGTCCTTGCATGCTTCTGTGATAGGCCCTTTCTACTAACTAAGGGGACCCACACAGCATCTTATGATTCTGAGGAACCAGGCTGGTTTAAAACAGTAAACCTTCCCCTCAGTTACAAGATGTTATTAGGGTAGCAAGTGTAAAGGCTTCAGGTTCACTGCCATGAGAAAAGTTTTATGGTGAGCAAGATGAACATGGAGATCACTGGGGCAAGTATTGTATGTAAACATCAAAATTATTTATTTATTTACAGGTTGCTTTTAGAGAACAGATCAGCAGCACAGGTCTCTAGACAGTTAAAGGAGAAACCTGATTTAGGCACATAGGTTTAGGCTAATTATGGCTCCAGAGCATGACTTGAAATCTCTTTTACTGACTAGCTGCTGTTGTGGATTCAGAGATGGGATGCTTTGGAGCACATCAAAGAATCCCTGAGACCATGGTAATGGCTTATTTGCACAAGAAGGAGGGCAATAAAATAAGCCCAATAAGGCTCAAAGAACACAGGAGATATGTTTCTGCCCTGAGACAGCCCATTTGGCCTAACCACCAAGGGGGAAGGTTGGATGATGTGTGTAAAACCTGATCTGTAGTATGGCACATGCAGTACATGCCAGGTAACCTAACTGGGGAAGAGTTTGGGGTATCTCCCATAAGGACAGGAGCCCTAAGTCTGGATTGTGGAAGGCTACCATCAAAGCAGGCAGAAAGGTTTTAAAAGGTGGAATCTTCCTTTGTTCAAAAATGTGCTCTAATTTCTTAATCTGTAGCAATAAAATTTATTTTCTGTTTAAGAAAGCGGACTGTGATTCAAATCCTACCCACTAGGGTTGCCAAGTCATGGCGGGGGATCGTAAATCTTGTAGAATCCGTGCTGCAGGGACGGCGAGACGTGTTGCACCCGTTGTCGGCAGGACATGATGCTATGTGTCACTCTGGCAACAGGGCTCCAAACAGGGATCCAAAGGTTTTCCCAGAGGCCTTTTCCCCTTCTTCCCCTAAAATTTCTACTACTGCACCTGTTTACCAGTGTCACTTTTGTAAAACAGCTGGCATTAGCTTTAGCTAGAAGAAATCTCTTCTGAAGGTTCTTGACATACCACGTACAACATACTAAGTTTTGAGTTGGTCCAAGGAAGAGAATACAGGATTATTTCAGATTGATGGAAATAAAAACATATGCCCACAATTTCCGGAGCCACATGTTGTTCCAAATCTGTGTTCAGATTCTCAAAAATATAATTTTACCACAAAAAGCAGCAGCAGAAGCCCCAATACAGATTGGGACTGTGGAGTAGAGTTTTTAATTCCCTCCCACATGATAGAAACTGGCCCCCAACTGCTTTTAGCCCTGGGGAGGGTGGGGGGAGATAGGTACCCATACTGTACCTGTAGACATAGCTATCTTTCTCCCACAATGAGACTATAAGCAGTCTGGGGAGGACAGTTCCTATCAGAAAAAAAATATGGGAGGAAAGAATCAAGAATTCATCTCACCCACCCACCCCCTATGGCTGGATTTTGCAACTAAATCATTTATTGAAGAGATACAAATACAGATCCCAAACGTCTTGGGCACAAAACATCTTGGTATTCAGAAATCAGAATAAAGTCACCAATTATATACCTGCAAGTGCCACTGTATGTCCTCCTCCACAGGCGACTTTATTAACCCTACCAGAAATTCCAGAAACAAGTTGTGGAACCCTGTTGTTTTTCAGTTGCTCATGTGACAAGCCTAGCTTTCCATTTTCAGGCTCCCCAAAAGTATAGAGTTCACCGTCTCCTGTAGAAAAATAGAACAGGAAGATCATTCTCTACAAAGTAGTATCAGAGGTCTGTCTGGAGAATATTTCTGTGTGTTTCTCACCATTGTGTTATCAGGAAAGTGCATTAATTTTAAAACTAAGAAAACAAAACAAAAAAAACCCTACATTTGTTTTATTACAAAAACTAAAGGAAATCGAGCATTATTCATTTCCCTTTGTTTTCCTAGAGCCCGGCTATCTTGTTTAGAGAGAGTTCAAGGGCAGTTCAGAACAAGGGTCTAACTAAGGGTGGCCAAAATAGCTTTGGAAAAAGGGGGGACAGCTTGCCCCATGGCCCACCCCACCAACAGCAGGGGAGAAGCAGGCTCCTATGGCTCCTGCCTGGCTTTTACACATACCTGCCTTGTGAGAGATGAGGAGTGCCAGCTTGCAGTGGCTTAAGAACATAAGAAGAGCACTGCTGGATCAGACCAGTGGTCCATCCAGTCCAGCATCCTGTCTCACACAGTGGCCAGCTAGTTCCTATGGAGGGTCAACAACAGGGTATAGAGGCTGAGGCCTTCCCTTGATGTTCCCTCCTGACCTGACTCTGGGACTCAGAGGTTTATTGCCTCTGAATGTGGAGGTTCCCCTCAGTCAACACAAAGTTTCTGTCTGCCTCTTGACTCCGTATAAGCAGCACCTCCCCAATTTCCCTTGGCCTGTTCTAGTAGTGTTCTCTGCATTTCATCCTGTTCTTAGGATTTCATGGCCTCCATGAGCACCATGGGCCTTGTCTCAGGTAATAACTGGTCCTACGCACTGTGCAAGCCATATTCTAGATTTGTTTTGGGTGAGAAGAATGCAATATGAGGGTGGAGGAATTGATGTCAGGTCCTTTATCATGGACCGATCCCTATTTGCTTGGGTTTAGTCTTACAGGAATACCAGGACTTTTTAAAGCACATTTTAAAGCACATTCCAGGGCAGCAAAGTAAATTAACAACACTTTTTTTCACTTCCATCGCATCTGCACAGTGTGGGCCAGTGGAGCTATTATGTCATCAGAGGCCCTTTGGGATCTGGCCTGCAGGAGGAGGTAGACTTCTTGGTGGCCCACTGGAATAATTTTGTTCAGCACTTTGCACATAAAATTTCTTCTATCCATTCCAACTTTGTGTCTGCATTTGCAGTGACAGGGTCAGATGGTGCTAGGGTGCCAATTTTCCAGTTATTTAGAATTTATTTATTTATTTATTCAACTTTTATCCCGCCCTTCCGCCAAAGCGGCTCAGGGCGGCTCACAACATTAATAAAACCAACATAACATAAGAACATAAGAGACGCCAATGTTGGATCAGGCCAAAGGCCCATCCAGTCCAACACTCTGTGTCACACAGTGGCCAGAAATACCAGTGCCATCAGGAGGTCCAGCAGTGGGGCCAGGACATTAGAAGCCCTCCCACTGTTGACCCCCCCCCAAGCACCAAGAAGACAGAGCATCACTTGCCCCAGAGCCCCTAGCTATACCTTGTGGCTAATAGCCACTGATGGACCTCTGCTCCATATGCTTATCTAATTCCCTTTTGAAGCCGTCCATGCTTGTAGCACCCACCACTTCCTGTGGCAGTGAATTCCATGTGTTAATCACTCTTTGGGTGAAGAAGTACTTCCTTTTATCCGTTCTAACCCGACCGCTCTGCAGTTTCATGGAGTGCCCACGAGTTCTTGTATTGTGAGAAAGGGAGAAAAGTACCTCTTTCTTTACCTGCTCTTTCCCATGCATAATCTTATAAACCTCGATCATGTCACCCCTCAGTCGTCTTTTCTCCAAGCTAAAGAGCCCTAAGCGCTTTAACCTTTCCTCATAGGGAAAGTGTTCCAACCCTTTTATCATTCGAGTTGCCCTTTTCTGCACTTTTTCCAAAGCTATAATATCCTTTTTAAGGTGTGGTGCCCAGAACTGCACACAGTATTCCAAATGAGGTCTCACCATTGATTTATATAGGGGCATTATTATATTGGCTGATCTGTTTTCAATACCCTTCCTAATAATCCCCAGCATAGCATTGGCCTTCTTTATTGCAGTCACACACTGTCTCGACATTTTCAGTGAGTTATCCACTACAACTCCAAGATCTCTCTCTTGCTCAGTCTCTGCCAGTTCAGACCCCATCAATGTGTATTTATATTTAGGATTTTTGGCTCCAATGTGCATCACCTTGCACTTGGCCACATTGAACCCCATTTGCCATGTTGACGCCCACTCGCCCATCCTTGACAGATCCCCTTGGAGTGCCTCACAATCCTCACTGGTTTTCACCACCCTGAACAACTTTGTATCATCCGCAAATTTAGCCACTTCACTGCTTACTCCCATCTCCAAATCATTAATGAACAAGTTAAAAAGCAGTGGACCAAGTACTGATCCCTGCGGTACCCCACTGCTTACCACCCTCCACTGAGAAAATTGCCCATTTATACTCACTCTCTGTTTTCTATGAATTAGCCAGTTTTTGATCCATAAAAGGACTTGTCCTTCTATCCCATGATTTTTGAGCTTACTTAGGAGCCTTTGATGAGGAACTTTATCAAAAGCTTTCTGGAAGTCAAGGTAAATAATATCTATTGGATCCCCCTTGTCCACATGTTTGTTCACCCCCTCAAAGAACACTAACAGGTTAGTGAGACAAGATCTTCCCTTACAGAAACCGTGCTGAGTCTGCCTCAATAGGTTTTGTTCATCTATGTGCCTACTAATTCTTTCCTTAATAATGGTTTCCACCAATTTACCCGGTATCGACGTCAGACTGATTGGCCTGTAATTTCCCGGATCTCCTCTGGAACCCTTTTTAAAGATGGGAGTGACATTAGCTACCTTCCAATCCTCAGGAATGGAGGCAGATTTTAAGGAAAGATTACATATCTTTGTCAGGAGATCTACAAGTTCACATTTGAGTTCTTTCAGAACTCTCGGATGTATGCCATCTGGGCCTGGTGATTTTTCAGTTTTTAAGTTGTCTATCAGTTTTAGGACCTCCTCTCTCGTCACCTCAATCTGACTCAGGTCTTTCAACACCCCTCCTGAAATCAGTGGTTCTGGAGTGGGCAAGCACTTCTCATCTTCCACAGTGAAGACGGAGGCAAAAAATGCATTTAGCTTCTCAGCCATTTCCCTATCATTCTTCAATACTCCTTTTACCCCTTGGTCGTCCAAGGGCCCCACTGCCTCCCTGGCTGGTTTCCTGTTTCTAATGTATTTGAAGAAAGATTTTACATAGATTAATCCATAAAACAACTTACATAAATACAATAAATATAAGTAAAAGTGGTTTGGTAAATCATTACGACTGGACCTCAACCACATTGCTAACTACTTCTTTTCAGTTTATTCAGTTTGAGGATGTGGATAAGATCCTTGGAAGTTTGAGGCCTACCTTGCCCTTCCCAGCTACTTAAATCTGCCAGACAGGGGGTCTAGCTGACTGGGTCCAAGAGATAATTAACGCCTACTTGAGAGAGAGGATGGTCAATCCAGCCTCAAAATGGGCTATGGTGTGTCCAGTTCTAAAGAAGCTTACCTACTTTGGACCCAGGAGATCTCAAACGTTTCATTCTTGAGCATGGTGATTGAATTGGTGGTGGGTGGATAACTTCAAGCTTTCTTGGATGAAATGAATTGTTTAAATCCTTTCCAGTTTGGTTCTAAGCCTGGTTATAGACCTGAAACAGTGGTCACCCTGGTGGATGCAGAGGGAATGCAACTCAGTTGATTCTTCTGCACCTTTCAGCAGCTTTTCATATTGTTAATCATGCTATTCCTTTGGGCTGCCTTTCTGGGCTGGGATTGGGAGGCACCATTTTGCACCATTTGATTCCGGTTCTACCTGAAGGATAGGTTTCAGAAGGTGTTGCTGGAGAATTGCTGCTCAGCACGTTGGCCTGGAGACTGTGGGGTCTTGCAAAGTTCCATCTTGTCTCCTATGTGCTTTAGTATCTACATGAAACCACTGGGTGAGGTCATCTGCAAATTTGGGCTGAGTTGTCGCCAATATGTGGATGATACTCAGCTCTATCTCATGCCTCTGGCCAACCCGGGGAGGCTGCAGAAATCCTGAACCAGTGCCTGGAGGCAGTTTTGGAGTGAATGTGGGCTAATAAACTGAAGCTAAATCAAACCAAGATGGAAGTGCTATGGGCAAACAGAAGGTCTGACCTGGGATTTAAGGTACCACATGTTCTGGATTGGGTTATGCTCCCCATGAAGGAATGGATTCATAATCCAGGGGTGCTCTTGGATCCAGGCCTATGGCTGGTTAAGCATATTGCAGCTATAGCCAGGAGTGCCTTTTACCACTTTTTGACTAGTCAGTTGCAGCTTTTTCTGGGCAGAAAAGATCTGGCTATGGTGGTGCATGCCCTGGGTACATTAGATTACTGCAATGCACTCTACATAGGACTGCCTTTGAAAATATTTTAATTAATAAACTTCATCCAAAACTGATGGAAAACAACGATATTACAGCCAGAAACATGTTGCTCATTGAAACCACTAACAAATAAATTAATGCAAAAAACAGTGATATGAAAATGAATGAAAAGTTGAAAACAAACAAAAGCAAATTTGGAAAAGGACACTGGCACACTCTTACTATGTATATCTCAGGAATTCCACACTTACGTGTTATCAAGGCAGAGTGGTAATATCCACAAGAGATCCAGGAAATAGGTTTCCCAACATCCACTTGGTGAGGAACACACACGTTTGCTACATTAGCCAAGCCAATTTGTCCTTCAGAATTATCTCCCCACATAAAAAGCCGTCCATCCTCTATAAATAAACAGAGATAATCAGTGTAAAGCCAATAACGAGTTGCTTAAAGAAGTAAAAAATACAAAACACAGCAGCCATGAGTGGCAGCGCTGTGACTTCTTAACCACAACCCCTGTACTACATCATGCAACTTTTTAAACGTGGAAAGGTTAGAGGAGGGGAATTTCAACAGCAATTTATAATATAGCATGCATTATTGGAAAGGAGAGATAGATTTGAAGTTGTGAAGTGACAAAAAGCCCTATTCTTTGCATGATCCCCCACCTGTCTTGCCTAAAATTTTCTGTTATTTCAAAACGAAATGGGGGGGGGGAAGCAATATTTAGCCACCCTGAGCCCGTTCGCAAGAAGGGCAGGGTATAAATGTAATGAAAATAAAATAAATAAATAAATAAATTTAGGAGCATCTTGATATAAACCTTCATCTCTGGAATGTCTAAGATTGTTTCCCTAAATTAATCCACATTTCTACAATCTGAGGCATAGCTGGAAAATAGCTAACAGGTACTCTAAAGAATTTTTTAAAGTTGCTAAAAAAATTGCATAGCAAAATGTTGAAAGGTGCAGTTATTATCTAGAAACAATGGAAGCAGAGATAGTGCCAAACCCTGCAGCAGATTCTCCAAAGTGTTAGAACTGCCACATCACATTGATAGTGACCAACTTGGACTTGGGTATGCAAAGTAATCTTGATCTCAGGGCTTTCACAAACGTCCAAGGAAAAATATCTCTCAAATACAATAACTCTACCCTCCAACACAACTCCCTGAGTTAGCTGGTGCTCTCACCAGTAAGTGCCGCTGAAGTGTAGGATCCAGCTGCCAGCTGTCTGATCTTGTGCTGGTTGGTAAAAAAACTGATAGGATGAAATGTGCTTCTTTCCTCTGTGTCACCTATTCCCAGTTGTCCTTCACTGTTACCTCCAACAGCATACACTTTCCCTTGTTCTGGACAGAGAAGAGCACATATAGAGTAACTACATTCTCATTCAAAGCAACAGCCAAACTCCCCCCCCCCAAAAAAAACCCAGACAAGTTCAGTTCATGCTGATTTCTTTACACACATCAAAAAGCAGGTTACTGTTCCCTTGATCTTTTCAAAAGGCTAATGGCAGAGAGGATAAAACTTGCTCTGCACACTTCCTGCTGTAGCTTAGCAGTTAGCTGGTGGTGGGATTCCTTCATTCCTCCCTATCAGTTTCGAGTGAGAAGTAGAAGAAATACATCCGCCATCACAGCCTCCTACAAAGCAAAGTTCTATTGGGAGGAAAAGGCAATGATGAAAAGTTCTTTATCTCAGCCGCAGGCTATGATTATTCTGAATAGGGCAGGGCCAAGCCTAAAAGGGGAGAGGGGACCCTGCCCCTTGCTCCGCCCACAGTACCAGCAACCAGTGGGCAGGAGGGTGAGGTCACAGAAGAAGAATCCTTGCGCTGAGATTCATCCAGACCAGGCTTCGCATCTTAATTTGCCTCTCCTGATGACTACAGGAAACTGTTGCTAGAGGCTTCACTTCACTCCTGTGTCTCTAGGGTTGCCAAGTGTACATACCGTTTGTAGCGGGGGAGCCTTGCCGGGCTCCGGGAGCTCGCGAGGGACGCGCGTGCCGGCAGCACGTCACAGGAAGTGATGTACTACGTTGCTCACATTGGGGGCGTGGCTGCGTCACCTCTGGTGACGCAGCTTCGGGGGCGGAGTTCCCCCTGGGGCCCGATTCCGCTGCGGCGGAATCGGGCCTCCAAAGCGGGGGTTTCCCCGCCCGCAGTTGGCAGCCCTATGTGTCTCCCTTCCTCTGACCAAGGAGCTGTCATTGCCAAGGTTATTTCATTTTCAGTGCTGAGAGAAAATGCAGTCTGCCATACAGATAGGCACTATTGATAAAATAGAATGCTAAAGGACTAACTCCTGCTGCTGCAAGAGTGCAACGAGAGATAATTCAATTTTAAAATTATTTCTTAATTCCACATACTATGTTTAAAAAAGAGAGAGATTCTACCGCATGTTGACTCATTGTAATGGTATTTGTGCACAAAGACCAGCCCATTGTCCATGTTAAACTACTGCACAAGCCCCACTGAACGTTCTGCTCAGGCACAAGTCCTGGTCATCTCACTAAACAGGGCTGGCACCAGGGAAGTTCTTTGCAACACTTTTCAAGGAAAGTGAGCGCCACTACAACACTAAGAAAGGGAATGCCTGGCCTCACTCCAGGCATTCTCTTGCACCCTTTAACAAATTGTGACTAGGCTGCAGTGTAGACCTAACATTGGCTCCCTGCAAAATGTGGTTTGCAAGAACCAGCACTAAAAATAGGTACTTTTTTCTCTGAAAGTGGAAACATGCGCTAGTACTGAGCTCTCTGTTGCAAACATGCTTACTGTCTCTTCTAGAGTGTGGCTATATGTTGTAATCCTGCAAAGCTCCTATTCCTATTTCCACCAACTGGAACTGTGTGCAGTATTGCAACCATAGCATTTAGTGAAGGAAGCTGTAGGAAGATTCCAGACGTAGTACTACTGTTTATGGTTACAAAGCAGTAAGAGAGGCCATGAGCAATTAGTCAGTTAGCTAGATGGACTGATTGATTTTTAAAGCGTCTCCACTTCTAAAGATTTATGTAGGAAGCTCACCTCAACCCGCCCCTCATCAGAATTTGCCACAACAACGTAAGTTACATACCTGTACAAATCAAAGTGTGATTTCTCCCACAAGCAGCCAATTTTACTTTTTCTGGTTTTAAAACTATGAATTAAAAACACAAGTTATTCAGTCTGTTCAATATAATTACTTTACAGTAATTATATAACCATCTATCAGTGGTATGATGGACAAATGCAGTAAATTGGGCCTTCTAGTTCAATTTACATCTGAATAATTAAATGGCTCATTGAGTATTTCTTTCAGTGCCTCTGAAAACAGAGTTATGTGTTTTCTTTATGGGTCCAGTGCCAGAAAACAAACCAAATTTGCTTTTTTCCCTATTTCCACCTTTGAGCTTAAATCACAGGAAACATTAAATGTCCTGGAGGACATCTTCAGAAAGGACTTTATAGACACAGCAAAAAGATCATGGATTGCCAATGACCTCAAGTCTTAATGCGATGTAAGATTTTAAGACTCTTCAGTATCTCTGGAAATCCAGAGTGACATTAGAGAACTTTTTTTTTCAATTGAACATCTTCTAAAATGACATATAATGCAAGACAAACCTTTCACACATGTTGGCTTGTTAATGTTGTTCTTTGTTCCCAATCCCAGTTGTCCCCAGTTGTTACTTCCAAACATATAAAGTTTACCGTTTCCTACAGAACACAAACACCAAATAAAGTAATCCTCCACAAATTATTTCTTTTCAAATACTCCAGTATAATGTAGTTACTTGTGCTGGACATTTGCTTTGTTAAGAAAAACATCTATGTAGGGTTATGCATGAATCTCACAGGAAGATGCATTTCTCAGTTTACTACACCTAAGCAAATTTTCTGCTCTTGACATTAATCTAAAACAGTAAATGTAAGGTTGGATCCCACTGAGTATTTCCAGTGAGAGAAGCCGGGTGACTGCAGACCTCACATTGCCCCCTCATGTTGCTTCTAGCACTCCCCCATCGCCTAAGAGCAACATTTTGGAGGGCACATGGGGCTACAGCAGAAAGGGGGAGGCAAGGAAGCTATGCTTTGCTGAGACATCCTTCCATCACCTGGCATTTTCGACAGAACCCAAGCCATTTGCCAACCTTACTTTATCATATGGCACAACACATCTCAGAGTACCTTCAAATATTAAACTGAAGTGGGACAAAAAGAACTATCTCTTGTTCCTTCTGTTTTGGTACTTCCTGTGTAACTTGCAAATATATGAATATATACATGAGTTCTCCATGCATCCAGAACTGGTATCCCAATATTTTAACTTTGCACACATTGGAAGTACAATTCCCTCATGTTTTATCCATCGTATCACTGCTTCTGTGAAACATCTAAGGCTACCATCAGGATTGGGCTGTAAATCTACTTAGGATAACAGCCTTTAATGCTTCCCATTTACGAAAAAGTATTATAACTTGCAGTGGTGCTTCTAAATCTTTCCTTAAAATCTGCCTCCATTCCTGAGGACTGGAAGGTAGCTAATATCACTCCCATCTTTAAAAAGGGTTCCAGAGGAGATCCGGGAAATTACAGGCCAGTCAGTCTGACATCGATACTGGGTAAATTGGTGGAAACCATTATTAAGGAAAGAATTAGTAGGCACATAGATGAACAAAACCTATTGAGGCAGACTCAGCATGGGTTCTGTAAGGGAAGATCTTGTCTCACAAACCTGTTAATGTTCTTTGAGGGGGTGAACAAACATGTGGACAAGGGGGATCCAATAGATATTGTTTACCTTGACTTCCAGAAAGCTTTTGATAAAGTTCCTCATCAAAGGCTCCTAAGCAAGCTCAAAAATCATGGGATAAAAGGACAAGTCCTTTTATGGATCAAAAACTGGCTAATTAATAGAAAACAGAGAGTGAGTATAAATGGGCAGTTCTCCCAGTGGAGGGGGGTAAGCAGTGGGGTACCACAGGGATCAGTACTTGGTCCACTGCTTTTTAACTTGTTCATTAATGATTTGGAGTTGGGAGTAAGCAGTGAAGTGGCTAAATTTGCGGATGATACGAAGTTGTTCAGGGTGGTGAAAACCAGTGAGGATTGTGAGGCACTCCAAAGGGATCTGTCAAAGATGGGCAAGTGGGCGTCAACATGGCAAATGGGGTTCAATGTGGCCAAGTGCAAGGTGATGCACATTGGAGCCAAAAATCCTAAATATAAATACACATTGATGGGGTCTGAACTGGCAGAGACAGATCAAGAGAGAGATCTTGGAGTTGTAGTAGATAACTCACTGAAAATGTCGAGACAGTGTGTGACTGCAATAAAGAAGGCCAATGCTATGCTGGGGATTATTAGGAAGGGTATTGTAAACAGATCAGCCAATATCATAATGCCGCTATATAAATCAATGGTGCGACCTCATCTGGAATACTGTGTGCAATTCTGGTCACCACACCTTAAAAAGGATATTATAGCTTTGGAAAAAGTGCAGAAAAGGGCAACTCGAATGATAAAAGGGTTGGAACACTTTCCCTATGAGGAACGGTTAAGGCGCTTAGGGCTCTTTAGCTTGGAGAAAAGACGACTGAGGGGTGACATGATCGAGGTTTATAAGATTATGCATGGGAAAGAGCAGGTAGAGAAAGAGGTACTTTTCTCCCTTTCTCACAATACAAGAACCCGTGGGCACTCCATGAAATTGCTGAGCGGTCGGGTTAGAACGGATAAAAGGAAGTACTTCTTCACCCAAAGAGTGATTAACACTTGGAATTCACTGCCACAGGAAGTGGTGGCAGCTACAAGCATGGACGGCTTCAAAAGGGAATTAGATAAGCATATGGAGCAGAGGTCCATCAGTGGCTATTAGCCACAAGGTATAGATAGGGACTCTGGGGCAAGTGTCTGTCTTCTTGGTGCTTGGGGGAGGTCAACAGTGGGAGGGCTTCTAATGTCCTGGCCCCACTGGTAGACATCCAGATGGCACCTGGTATTTTTGGCCACTGTGTGACAGAGTGTGATGGGCCTTTGGCCTGATCCAACATTGGCATCTCTTATGTTCTTATGTTCTAAAAGGCAGCAGCAAAACTACTGATTCCAAAGTGTGGATATTCGAAAAAAGTTCTTTTAACACCAACCTGTAATAACAGATGTATGTTCATCTCCACATGATATATGTAAAGGTTTGTCACTTTTAAACCAGAACTTGCTAGGAACATTTTCTGCAAATTTGCTTTTTCCAAATGTGAATATAGCACCTGATACTAAAAGAAAGAAAACTGGTTAAGTATTAGTTCAATAAATTCCACTTCATATAGCAATCCAGCTCGCTGGCTTGCTACTCAAAATGTCCAAAGGTCTTGAAGTTTGTATTTCTTTCCCATCTTCTAAGCTTTCCTATATAGAGAGAGCTTTTGTTTCATTTTGTTTCATTCAAAAGCTCTCAATTTATATGATGGTATCACTTGACATAAGATATTGCCTGTTAAAGGTGGTCTTTTGTTTGTTTTTCTATTTCAAAATAAAAACAGAACAAAAATATATAAAAATAAAAAAGGTTGTGTGTTTTTTTTTAAATCTCATCCTGAGAGCAGGTCAAAATAAAAGTGAACAACAGATATCCCGTACTTGAATTCAAAGTGGCTTTCCAAAGTGGAGTGACACACACTGTACAGGGTGACAAGTTACAATTCTGATCTCTCTTCCTCACTTATCTGTAAAGATATATTTGCTGGTTTGCTCTAAAAATAGCCCCCTACATAGCAAGACTATCAGCTTGTGGGAAGAAGCATTGCCAAAACACTTTTTAAAAATATATAAAATGTCCTTGGAAGTATGAGTTTTTCACACAATCCTTCCCAAATAGAAATCAAACAAAAGTTATTTTTACTTACAGCTATTTAAAAAAATGTTGAAAGCTACTCATGTGGGGGATGAAAACAATTCCTTTTAGGAGGGAAAAATATATTAAGCGTTCCACATAATTTTTTGTATAGCTTTTTCCAAATACAACCTCCACAATTTGCTACAGAGTAATAATAATAACTGGTTTACTTAACCCCAAGTCAGAACACTTTGTAACTCAAAAGACTACATACCTTAGAGTTCAACTGATCCAAGCATCCTGGGTATACTCCCTCCCCTATGTTAAGTTTACAGAGGGCAATCCCTACCTGCTCTCCCCAGGTTCGTAGAAAGAGCAAGTAAAACTGCTTACAACTGTCCTGCTGCTGAAGACTGACACAGTTCCCATTGCCCCACTTGCTAGCCTGCGTGCACATGCATACAACACACACCAGCCAGAGCATGTTAGTCAGCAGATTTACAATAACAATGCTAGAGGCACAGGAAAGTTGTTCAATCCTGAAGTCATGTTTTGCAAGAGGTAAAAAGAAGGCACTGTGAACACACAGTGAGACGAGCATGTTGAAAGAAGGCATAAACTCCCGTGTGTGTGTTTGCAGGTGGAGTACACAACAAATCTTAAATGAGCAGGGGAGGATGGGATAAGCATTCAATAAATAAATACCTAATTTAGCTAATAAGGAGTCCAGTTGCACTTTAAAAAATATCCAAATTAATATTCACAAGTGAAATGTATGAATGCATCTCATGAAATGAACTCTGACTCAAGAAAACTTCCACTGGAACAAATTTTTATTAGCCTTTAAGGTGCCATTCATTTCAACTTTTCCTTTACTGATGCAAACTGACACAGCTACTCCTTTGAAACTGCCTGATGGGGTTTTAAAAACTAGAAACACAGATCTTGCCAGTAAGCCCCGTTCAAGTCAATGGGGCTTAATTCCAAGTAAACCTAGGTAGGCTCTAGATGAAAACCCCCTGAAGCCGATCCACTGGTTCTCCCTGCCCCTGCCGAGTAAGACGGATCAGGTGCAAAGAAAGAGAAAGGCAGGAAGGAGCAGATGGAAATCCCGTCATCCGCGGGCATCACTGGGAAGGGAAGGCAGAGGAGCGCAGAAGAGGGAGACAGTCCAACCAGTCAGCATCCCTGGAAGGGGAACTCACCGGGCACCTGCTCTTCGGCCTCCCCCATGACAGGGGGAGGGGGAAAGAACCGCGGAGGGAGACGGAGCCGTGAGTGCCACCGAGCTCCCGGAAGTAAACAAACCTCCTGCTACTAGCAACGGTGGCTGGCTGGACCATAGAGAGTCGCTTGCATGCTAGTGCAAACCGCCACCTCAAGCAACCATAGAGATAAACCCCTCGAATAGCAAGGCATCGCCAGGCAAGGCGTGATAACTCTAGTGGTTCTCAACCGGGATTTCCTGTTTGCATTCAATACGCGTGTAGGCCCACAAGTCCTCGGGAATTATTTTTGTGTTTCAGGGTTCTGTTTCGGTTTGGAAACCTACTCAGGCAAATGTTTTGGGAGAGAGCCGTATTAACAAAAAATAAGCAGGAATCAAAAGAAATAAACGGGAATTTAAGTAAAAAGGCAGAAGTCGCGATTTGAGCATTTTTATTGTTGTTGTTGCGTGGAAGTTCCACGGTGGAACTGTACTGTCAAATATGTTTCCTTCGTAAGTCTGCGTATTTTCTTTCATAAGCAGATAAACCTTTTTCTTTCTGCCAGAATTCTGGAAACTGTTTATTGCAGTTTGGGTTCTAAAATGTTTTATTGTGGTTTGTAAATCACTGTATGGCAATTGTGTTCAGAGATGCTCTATGAAAATGGTAAGGAAGGAAAAAAGGTTGGTTTTTGGCTTGGAATCTTTTGCGTTTAAAGGAGGTGATGAGAACAAAGATATGGGGGTGAGAATGGCTTAACATGGTAATCCTGATTAGCGGTTTTCCAAAGAAAAATATATAGAATTTTCAACACATTTCAATATATAGATTTTTCAACGACTTTTCCAAGGGTCAGTTTGATGCCACTCCACAGAGAATCATGGTCAATGACTCATTTGCATTTTTAAAGGAAGCTGCGGTTGTGCATGTCACTCGATTTCCTCCCCCTCTCCCAATGAAAGAGAAAGACGATAAATCATTATGTGCAGCCTGGCATACCGATTTTTTAAAATAGCAGAGTTCCCCAGTTTTTGGCCTGTCTCTGTGTCAGATCAAATTCTAGTACAGGCTTTGTGGGCATATCCATGTAGGCATAACCGCCACTCCCCAACATCTCTGCCAGTCCACTTTTTATTTTCTGTCTAAATATGCTTTTCTCTTTTTGCTATTCCTTTAACTGACCAACAGTTTTTCTTTTAAGCTTTTCTGGCAAATCATACAATCTGAAATATATTGCTTCAAATCCTGCCCCTGGCTAACATGACATGAACTGAAAAGAAGTAGGATCATTGAGATTCTACAATGCCTTTTTTAGGGGGTAATTAAAAAAATACATATATCTCTGCACTAATGATCAGCTGTTAATTTCTTCCTCTTCTTCCTTTCCACATTCACCAACAACATTGTTCCCTTTCTCTTTTGACCCCACCCCCCAATTCTATTCAAGCAGAGTCAACCAGCAAGCAATGTGTTTGAGAAGGGACGTGATTATATCTAAGCACTGCAAAAAAAGGAAGCATTTAAAATTACCTGTTTTATTTGTTTACATTGCTTCCTTTGACTTTTCGTAGGGTTGCCAACCTCCAGGAGGGACATTGAGCTCTCCGGTTAGTATAACTGACCCCAGGTGACAGAGATCAGTTCCCCCGGAGAAAATGGCTGCTCTGGAGGGTGGACTCTGTGGCATTGTACCTCATAAAAATCTCCTCCCCAAACCCCATCATTCTCAGGCTCCACCCACAAAATCTTCAGGTATTTCCCAACCCAGAGTTTGTGGTGTTATCTTCTGCTTGCAAGTCAGGAGTAGGGGGTACTCATTTAGGTTCCTGCTTTTAGGTTCACATAACAGAGAAAGGTGTGTTCCAAACAGCATTCATTTATTAGTAACTAGCCTGCTACCCGTGCTTCACTATGGTGTTTAAGTTCTGTAAATCCAGTTATAATACTGATGATGTGAAATTTGAAATGTGATATTTGTTGTAGGAATTCTAGCAGAGAAGATTGTAGTGTAAGAAATGAAGTGAGATATACGTCCTTTTTTTCTGTACTGAAGGACCTCTCTGTAGACCACATAGGTGGTTCTGCCCTCAGGTGCTAGGATCACCAGGCTGCTTGATGAGCTCACTCTGGAAAAGGCAACATAGAACTGTCCATTTAAGAAGCAGTCATCACTTAGAAGAAGAAGAAGAGGAGATTGGATTTATACCCCGCCCTTCACTACCCAAGGGAGTCTCAGAGCGGCTTACAAACTCCTTTCCCTTCCTCTCCCCTCCCGACAACAGACACCCTGTGAAGTAGGTGGGGTTGAGAGAGCTCTGACAGAAACTGCTATTTTTTCAAGAACAGCTGTACCAGAACTATGGCTTGCCCAAGATCATCCAGCAGCTGCAAGTGGAGGAGTGGGGAATCAAACCTGGTTCTCCCAGATTAGAGTCCACGCACTTAACTACTACACCAAACTTAAGAAGCAGGGGTCATGTTTCTCAGAAATCTCGTCATGGGGGGGGGGGTTTGACGTCATGGTAGGAATGCACTCCCCTTATTTTGGGTTTCTTGGTGCAGGGGTTTGGCCTAGGCATTGAATTTGGGAGGGAGGGCATTTTCTTTTTTACAAAAATGCTTCTCATTTATGTTACATTTTAGAACTGGGACATAACTACATATTCAAAACACCATCCGAGCAATCTGCTATTAAGCAAGTTCATATGAACGAGCTTTCTAGAAAACCACATTGTGAGAAGTTAAATAACCTAATAAAGGAAACCAGTTTTCTACAAATTTTGAGTATATTTCCATTGTGGGTGTGAGTGTGGCTAAACTGGGCCAGCAACATTGCTAAGGTGATCCTGCTGGGGCAGCGTCCCTGATGGATTAAAGTACCCTGGTCGTGCTCCTACACCTGACAGATTGTATTTAAAGGCATCGCGGAGGCTGGGCCAGCAGCAGAGCTAAGGCAATCCTGCTGAGCACACCTCCTCAGCAACTGTAAGCATCCCACCTCTCCTACACCTGACAGGCAGGGGGAGGGGGGAGAAATGTTAGAAGTCACTGTGGAGGCGGGGCTGGCAGGATCATTAAGGCATTACTGCTGGGGCAGGCTCCCTTGTGGCTTTAAGCAACCACTGCTGCACCTGACAGCCACCTGTTAGGTGTAGGAGGTGGGGGGAGTGTGTTGGAAGCCATCAGAGAGGCTGGGCCACCAGCATCGCTAAGGTGATCCTACTGGGGCGGCATCCCTGATGGATTAAAGTATCCTGGCCCTGCTCCTACACCTGACAGACACCGGCCTGTCTGGTGTTGGGGGGGGGATTGTATTTAAAGGCATCAGGGAGGCTGGGCCAGCAGCACTGCTAAGGCAATCCTGCTGAGCAAACCTCGGCAGTTGTAAGCATCCCACCTGCTCTTCTACACCTGACAGGCAACTGCCTGTCCAGTGTAGGAGGGGGAGAAGTATTAGAAGCCACTGTGGAGGCAGGACTGGCAGGATCACTAAGGTGTTACTGCTGGGGTAGGCTCCCTCGTGGATTTAAGCACTCTGCAACCGCTACTACACCTGACAGACACCCACCTGTTAGGTGTAGGAGGTGGGGGGAGTGTGTTGGAAGCCATCCCCCCTCCTCTCCTCCACCTGACAGGCAGCTGCCTGTCCAGTGTAGGAGGGGGAGAAGTATTAGAAGCCACTGTGGAGGTGGGGCTGCAGCTGACAGACAACTGCCTGTTAGGTGTAGGAGGTGGGGGGAGTGTGTTGGAAGCCATCCCCCCTCCTCTCCTCCACCTGACAGGCAGCTGCCTGTCCAGTGTAGGAGGGGGAGAAGTATTAGAAGCCACTGTGGAGGTGGGGCTGCAGCTGACAGACAACTGCCTGTTAGGTGTAGGAGGTGGGGGGTAGGGTTCCCAAGTACTTACAACCATCCGGTGGGGGAAACATGCTCCGTGGCCAGACCGTTCCTCCCTGTAACGCACCATGCCGTCGCCAGGACGTGACGCTGGGCAACGCTCTGGCAATGGGGCTGAAAACTCGATGGTACAAACTCTGTTGTCCCCGCGGGAATGATCCTGCGAATACGTCTGTGTTCCCCGCTGAATCATGGTAAGTACTTGGGAAGCCTGGTTGGAAGCCATTAGAGAGGCTGGGCCTGCAGCTTTGCTTCACCTCACAGGTGGTTCTCGGCCACTTCTGATTTCCTCAACTGTCATTAGCTCTCTGCAGTCCCCTGTAACTGTTGGCTTTTTTAACCTCAGAACACTGAGCTCTGCAGCTGACCAATCAGAGAGTGGGGGTGCAGAGAGGCAGATGCCTGGCAGCCACGTAAGAATCAATGGGGGAACACTCCCCCCCTTTTGACCCACTTAGGGGTCGAATTTCTAAAAATCCCTTCTTAACAAGCACCTACACCATGGTAGGAGCGCTCTCCCCGAATTTGGTGTCTCTAGGTCCAGCGGTTTGGCCTGGGCATTGATTTTACGGTGAGGGGACTTTCTTTTATATATATAGACTAGGAAAAAGGCCCGTTGTGGAAATAAATACAACGGCCTCTAGAAAGAGGCTCTGGGTGGGTGCCCCGGCCTTGGACACTCAGTGTCAATTTGCTGTGGCGACCTCAGCAGGGTATAATGACACTGAGTCCACCATTTTCTCCAGAGGAACTGATCTCTGCTACCTAAAGAACAGTTGTAATTTTGAGTGATCTCCAGTCCTCACCTGGAGATTGCAAGAACAAACACAATATTGCTGAACAAGTTCATAATATAATATATAAGACAATACAAATGCTGTTATAATTATTATTTTGTTTCCACAGATGGATACATCAAGAGACTAAAGTCTCAATGCAGGCAGGACGAACCTTCCCAGGCTTGACTGTCCGTTTCGACCTTTCGTCTTTATCAAACGTCCTATGAAAAATAAAAAAGTTTGATAGTGGGGGAAGCCCACTTAAAAGAAAGTCCATTTCTCACCTGGAGATTGACAACGATGGTTCCCCAGAAGGGAATCGTTGGTTTGGAGGGTGGAGTCTATGGCTTTGTACCTGTCCGAGGTCCCACGCCTCCTGAAACCTCACCCTCTCCAGGCTCCATCCCTCCCATATCCAGGAATTTCCCACCTGGAGTTGGCAACCCTATCTCCTTCCCAGCCAATCATCAATCTACCTTTATTTCCCCCTCACTCTTCAGCTTTCCACCCCCCACACACCTGCAGCCTCTCCCGTGCTCTGAAGCCCTGACTTCTACGTCACATTGGCTGTCATGGGGGCCACCTCAGCAGCATATAAGGATACAGAGCCCACCATTTTCTCCAGAGGAACTGATCTCTTTCATCTGGAAAGCAGTTGTAATTCTGAGTGATCTCCAGCCCTCACCTGGAGATTGGATACATTTAACCTCAGAACATCAAACTGTTTAGAATGTTAGAGGCAAAAGCCAATCAAGTCGCATATGCAAACGACCTCTGTGTTCCGAGGCAGAGGCCAATGAGGCTGCATATGCAAATAACCTCTGTGTTCTGACTGGCTATGGGGGGGGGGGACGGCAAAATGTTTAGAATGTTGGAGGCAGGACTCAGGCAAAGCAGCCAGTGGATAGGGAGACTCTCTGAATGACAGATCAGAGAGCAAACTGATTTTATTTATTTATTTATTTATATTGGGATTTATATCCCGCCCTACCCGTACGGCCCAGTCGGCGTGGAGCGTGTGGAATGTTCTAGAGAAGTGCCGCCACCATTCAGCTTTTATTTATAAGGGAGATGAGATACAGGGATGAGAGCAAACTGGCTTCAGGACAAAGGTGCTAAAGTCAACAATAATAACTAACAAACCGAGCTAACAAGCAGGGACTCCACCGAATGCAATTAACCAATACAGAAATATCAGAGGGGAAAATACACTGTTACATTGTAATGCATACAATAAACGCACCACAGGTTCAATATGCACAGTAATATCAAACAGAATATTAGTTCTGAGGATGTGTAGAATGCTTTCCCTTCACTATTGAGCTAACAAGGCAAGGTAACTTTTATATTTAAATTCACTTTTATATTTAAATTTGCAATCTTGCACACATGCACAAACATGCATGGACTCACATCCATGTGAACTGGGTGTCTTTGTGGTGTATGCATCATATGTGGCTTGGTTCCAATCCTAAACACATTTCTGAGGGATTTGCATCTGAGTATACATACTTAGGATTGCATTGTATCTGAGAGGTAAAAAGATTCCTCCATGATGAAAAAACATCTAGTAATGTCTAAATAGGGCAATAGGTATTGCTATGTTTCCTAGTCCCTTTTGTTAATGACACAACCTATGGATTTTGCAGTCCACCTAACTAATTACGTTTATCTTTAGTATTTGCATAAGGCAACATATATTGCCCCTGGGCAGGTCTCTCAGGTAAACGTTAGAGACAGCAAGGTCTCATGCAGTTTTACCTTTGCCCTTTCACTGCAAGGAAAGACATTCCTTCTTCATAATTTCAGTTAGGGCTATAACACAGAATAAATATGCTGTTTAATTTTAGGTTCCTATACAGTTCTGGAAATGCAAACAAGATCCACATGCATCTGGGGCGATGTGTTCGGTAAGTGTTTAATCCAAACACATCATATGTCTGAGCTGGGAGAGAAATTCTGGGCTATTTAGTCCAAAAAGAATAAACCATGCCGCTTTTGCTTAGGAGCCTACCAAAACTACAAAATTGGGATCAATGCATTCTACAGTAACATTGTCCAAAGGTGTTATTACCATTTTGCTTTCTGTTTACAGAATATTTTATTCTACAATTTTATGCAATACTGGAGGGGGGGAAATGTAGCTTTTTTTCAATTTCTGACATAGATGTGATCAGATGAACTTAGTGGAGGCAGGGGGAATAGAGTAACCATAAATAGCCCACCGGAGGAACTGGGGGGGGGGGGATGGATCCATTAATTATTTTACTAATTTTTATTTTATGTTGTCTCATAAATTATGAATAGAGAATTTGTTAGTGGCAGGAAACATGGTATTAACCAGCTATCAAAATGCTGTTAATATTGGAATTAACCAATGTAGCTGATATTTTTGTGATGATGTGAAAATTACAAATAAAACTTATTTTAAAAATGCTGTTAATATGACAACAGTCTAAATGACATGGTTAAAATCCCTAGATATTGCAGAGGAATGCTGTTTGATGGGAATTGTGTATTTGTGTAAGCTAATCATTTTAGTTAATTGATTCATTTTATTGATTATTGGAATGTTATTGCAAAGTAGCACTACTGGAAAGATATTGTCAGCATTTTAATAGAAATTACTAATAGCATATTAACATATTCAGATATCAGTTGTAATTTTAAGCGGTGGATACTGTGGTCACAGAAGCCATGCCAGTATATTGCAAAGGCATAAATGGACATAGAGTTACCTCCCAATGTCAGGAGAATCAAATGTGTGGCCCATGGGCTGGATCTGGCCCGTGCAGGGCTCAGAACCAGCCCCCCCCCCCAGAAACTTCCTTCTCCTGCTTCCTGTCCAAGGCTGCTGCTGCAGCCACACCCTAGTTTGCTTCCCCCCCAGCTCCCTCAGTGGCTCTTTACTTCCTGCTTTCTGCCTCTTGGCCCCCTCCCCCCTCCCTTGCTCTCTCCCGCTAATGAAAATGGTGTAGTGGAGACATGCTTCAGACTTTTGAAGGGAGGTTCCAAGAAATGATTGATTTTCCATTGGGTAAGAGTAATTTTTGTGACCATCATTGTAATGTTCTATATACTGAATTTTGTAATAATGATATTAGTGCAGTTAATGATGTGTTTATATTATCATGTTATTGTATTTATGAAGGAATCACTGAGGATCGCTGCGTCTGAATACACTTTGTGGATGTTTACACGTATCTATGAAATGTTGAATCCAGCATGATTCTTGAAAAAATTATTGAAACAGATTTATAACCGGGGGTCCGTCAGGTCAGCTGGCAGAGACACTATCACATCCTACAGTTCAAGGACTTTTTTTAATTTAAAGATGTTTATGAAAAAAAACTTTACTCGTGGATTTCTACCTGTCTATTTAATTGTGTCATAGGAAAATTCGTTCTGAGTATTGTATATGTTATATCCATAAAATCTATAAATCATTGTTTTTGGGTGGTTGAATTTGGGCACATGCATTTCTTTCTTCTTTACATATATTGCTGTGCCACTACTTTTTATCTTGTATCCCAAATGATAATAGCACACATTGGTAATGAGAGAGGGAAACTAGGTCTCAGTCCAGTCCAGGAGGATGCATTGTCTTGGAAAAAGAATGAAATAAAAATGTACAGACAGGCACCAAAAGACAATGAGTTGTTGTCTAAACCTGCCACCATCCTGGCAACATCAGTATTTGGGTGGAGATGTACTTTGACTTTCCTGACATGCTTATCAATTGCAGCACGTTTACCTGGTCCCATATAAGCCAGCTTGAGCTGCAGACTTGTGTGTGCGAAAATAAGAGCACTACATTTGGTATCGGATGGAAGTGAGGGAATGGGTCGTTAACAATGCTGCCTCTAAGCTGTGGAGTCTTGTGAGCAAAAATTCTACTTTGTGAGCTACGGCATTAAAGTTGTGCGCAAATGGGAGCCATCCTTCCTGAGCTAAGACAAAAATGTGTGAGCCGGAGGCTAAAAAACTGAGCTAGCTCACACTAACCGAGCTTAGAGGGAACACTGGTCATTAAATGTGTTCAGGCTGGAGTCAGGTTTTGCTCTCCCACTGCTGTGTCTCTTAGAACAAGAGGGAAACCACTGGGAATGAAGTCGGGCTATTTATGTAACTCCACCCCAGTTCCTTTTCTGATACTATTAGTACCACCACCATAGCCCTGTGTGGTAGCTAACCTCCAGGTGGAATCTAGAGTTCTCCTGGAATTACAACTGATCTCCAGACTACAGAGATCAGTTCTCCTGGTGGAAATGGCAGCTTTGGAGAGCAAATTCTATGGTATACCATAGATTCTAGTTGAAATTCTTCCCAGTTCCCCCCTCCACAAATACCCTCCCTAAGATCTCCAGGAATCTCCCAGGCCAGAGTTGGTAACCCCACTTTTCAGTCATTACATTTTTGCCATTCCCACCTTGGGTACCTGGAGAACACACTACACACAGTCCTCCCAATACACACAATCACCATTTCTTGTAGATTGGGCAATGCAGATATTTTCAAGCTTCAGCACATGTAATCGTGTACACATTACAAACCTGGGTTGAAGGTAGAGAGGTTTTTTGCTCCCACCTCAGCTTTTTAAAAAATCCTTCATATCTATCAGTCCCTGTATATTTGTCCATCTGGATGTATTGTGGAAGTACATATCACAACATATTGTCTATGCAGGGATTTGAGGTGTGCTTCTTATCAGACACTCTGGATTACATGAACAGCAAGTAGTGTACAATTGTCTTTGGCCACAGGCTGCTTGGGACCAACCATAACTGACTATGTGGCTTTGATTGTATTCAAAGACCAAATGTTGAATTGTGAGATATATATTTATTTGGTCATTTTAGGAGATACAGGTTTGGGGACCCAACTGAAATTTGTATGCAGTTGAAAGGTCGTGATTTTCTGACTCTACAAAATTATACAGCAGATGAAATCAAATATTTGCTTTGGGTGGCATCTGATCTGAAAGAAAGAGTCAAACATAAAAAAGAGGTATGCACATGAATTCTGTTACTCCCGTCCCCCCTTTCCCCCCCTGAAAAAACCATAGATTTAATTTAACAGTAGCTTTGCTATTCTTAGAGATTACTGAAGCTGTTTAAACCTCCACGTGCTTTTAAGAATTAATGCTTACTGTATCAAGAACTAATTACATATTTTAGGCTGCATGCATATTTGGGAATAAGTCTTGTTGGATTCCACAGAACATTTCCAATTAAGTATGCATAGGATCATGTGGTTATTTTTGGTTTCGAACATATTTTATTTATTATAAGACAGCAGACTTCAAATGTAAATAAATCCTATTCTGCCACCCTTTAAATTGCCATTTAAATTACTCACAAAGGAAAATAAGAGATTCTTATAATGGGCAGAAAATTATAACCATTAAGTCTGCTTCTTTCACCTTTAGATCTGATCATGTTTAACAGGAACAAAACTGCCGGTGATGTTCAAGCAGCCCATTCAATAGCCATATGACACATACAACTGTGCAGCCTTGTTCCAGATCTCATGAAAGCTTGGGAGTTACAATAGGTGCATCCTGGGTCGAGTGGAGGCTAGGTTGGCTTATGCAACTTCTTTGGGATCAGGAGATATATTAGTGATGTATTAGTAATATATTACCCACATTAGTAATATTTTGCTTTACAATAAACCCTGTCTCAAGAATTTCATTCTTAAATGACTCCTCGAAAAGTAAAATACAAAAGCAAAGTGTGAGCCTTTTCAGTACTAAAATATATATTCTGAAGATGCTGAATACATGCAAAGTTATCTGTGAACATTATTATAGTAATGATTTCTCCAGGTCCATTTAAGCATTAGGAAGAAGCTGTATTTAGGACCCAAATGTCTGAGGACACAATCTTTTCTTTATCATCCAAGAAGGATCACCTAAATACCATCCTTCTAGACATGATGCAGTGGCTAATTACTAAAGCCAGAAGCTCTGCCCCACTCACCCTGCTCGTCAATCCCAAAGCTTGCTGCACTCACAGTATTTAATGATACCTTGAATTCTGAATGAGCTGTTTTGCCTCCTGACAAAAGAGCTGCCGCAATACCTGATGAAGCACCAGCAAGAGTGATCATCCCTTTTTGCAACCTGTAGCCAAAATTTGTTTTCTAGCAAACGGTGGTGGCGGCGGCAGAAAGTGCTGTCAAGTCATAGCTGACTTATGGCAACGCTGTTGAGTTTTCAAGACAAGAGATGTTCAGAGGTAGTTTGCCATTGTCTGCTTCTGTGTAGGAGCCCTGGACTTCTTTGGTTGTCTCCCATCCAAATACCAGTGCTGACCCTGTTTCGTTTCCAACATTTGACGAGATTGGACTATCTTGGCCTATTTGAGTCAGGGCATAACAAACATTATAACCGGCCATTCTCCCCAGTGGAGAAACATGCTACTTACATAGTTGTCCTCTGTTCCATTTTATACTCACAACAACCTTGTGAGGTAGGGGTTGCTGAGAGGGTTTGTCTGGCCCAAGTCAGCCAGCAACCTTCCATGGCAGAGTGAGGATTCCATCCTGGTTCTCCTTGATCCTAGCCTGACATTCTAACCACTACACCGCACTGGCTCTGTTAGATAGGTCAGGGAAGTTGCTAAACCCGCTTTGTGTTGTCAGAGAGTGGGTATTTCCCCCACCCCCATCTGAGCTGACTGCCCATGGTGGCTTCTTGAGATTAAACCTTTGCTTCCATTGCAAATACCAGAGATTTGTTCTTGAGATCATCTGTGACAGGATGGTACGATTCCCTTCATTTTTGTCCCTGCAAGTCCCACTGTCATCCTGAAGCTGATCATCTATTTTTAACCCTCTAGTTTTATTTTCTGATTAGTTCTTCCTGCCACAGATAGCCATAGCTTCCAATGCAATAACTCAGAGGTGTGGGGGTTTCTGGGGACGGTCTGGACCAGGGTGTTCTAATTGGGGCACATTAACTCTCATAAACATCCTGAAGCTAGAAGGCAATTTTGAGGTTCCTAGCTTTAGTTTTGAATGAGCTTTACCTGCCACAAACAACCCATAGCTTCCAATGCAAAAAGCATGGGGGGGGGGTTTCTGGGGATGGTGCGAGCCGGGATATCCCAGTTCATTTCATGGTCAGCCCTGCAACTCCCATTTCTATCCTGGAGCCCATGACCATTATGATCCTGAAGCCTCTGGTCAGTTCTGAGGTCCCTAGCTTTATTTTCTGAGGAGTTAAAGGATGCCATGGACAGCTGGGTGGACAGACAGAGGGATCCTTTTATTATTATAGATTACTATATCAAGTGTAAAGCAAATAGATCCTCCATTGTAAAGACCTAATATGACAAAAAGTGCCTCTTCCTCTTGTCTTTCAGTATCTGCCTTTGTTACAGGGAAAATCTTTAACAATGATTTTTGAGAAAAGAAGCACAAGAACAAGATTATCTACAGAGACAGGTGAATACAGACCAAAATTGTGACCATAAATTTTCCTTTCTTTTCAAAAAAAGACTCAAGTTTAGAACAAATGACCAGTTGCTTTATAGTTTTTTATTCCAAATTCTGGTCATCGATAGTTCAATCTAATCTCTTTGATTGTTAATACCAAGAGAAACAAATGACAGTAGAAAGCAATGGACATAGTCTAGCCAGAGTCGTTAAATCAGTGGGACTTGAAAAGTCCTTATTTTTTATTTGAACTAGCCAATTTGTGGTTTGTAATAAATATTTTCTTCTTTATAAAAATAAATACCATTCTGTATTATTCATCAGGTGCAGTATAACTTGTCCTGCAGACACTTTTACAGGCTTTCAAAACTAATGGTTATGGTGCCATCTGCTGGTGAGAATTAATGAGCTCTTCAAACCTTTTTTGGGTCTTTTTTTTGAAGATGCATTGCAGATAACAACCTCATGGCACTTTTTTCTAACCCTAACCGTAAAATTTATGTTTTATCCCAGAAAATATTGTGAAAACGTTACCAAAATGTTTATTTGTGCAAGGGTTGTCTCCTTAATGCTAGATGTTAGCCCTGGTTCTATTTAAAATATCAGCAATAGTGATTGTATTGATAGGCTACTTTTCTGCTTTACAAGTGCTCAAAGCAGCATGAATTAAAACACAGAAAATAGCAGTAAAATAGAAACGTTTACAGTACAATAAAATACAGGTTTTAGAAGGTGGTGCTGAGGGACGGCTGCTCAGCCCTTTGGCCTATGGGATCCTGGCAAGGTTCCAGCTTGTTCCCCATGCTCTTAACATCTGCATGAAACTGCTGGGCAAGGTCATGCAGAGATTTGGGTAGAGATGTTACCAATATGAAGGTGACACTCAGATCTATTTTGTACTTCCAGCTGATCCCAGGGAGGCTGTAGAAACCCTGAACTGGTGCCTGGAAGCTATTTTGGGGTGGAGGCAAGCTAATAGACTGAAGCTTAATCCCAATAAAATGGAAGTACTGCTGGGGAACAAAATGACTGAGCCAGGGTTTCTCTGGTTCTCGATAGGGTTACACTCCCTCTGAAGGAACATGTCCATAGTCTGGGGGTGCTCTTGGACCCAGGCCTGTGTTAGAAGAACCAAATGTGATGTCCCTGTGTCTCAGCCTCCAAGAAGCAAGTGACCAGAGAGTTACAGCTAGATAGGCAGACACTAAGTATCTTCCTGTTTACTCTTCTTTCACTGAACCCTTTAATGTGCAGCTTGCTACTCTCAGGGAAAACAACTTCTTTACGTCTCCTTCTCTCTCTTCCCGCACACTTACAAAGAAGGGAGGACATGTTTCTTCTTCTTTGGCACCATGGATGGCAGATGCCTCTCCACATCCGCATCCATCACTAACTAGGTAGAATAGAATCTGTCCCTTTCTCTCTGCTGCACTATCAAGTAGGTATTTCCTGAATAAATCAGTTCTTATTTTCTTTTAAACTGATGAGTGGCTCTGTGTAACTCCGTAGCCTTACAAGCATACACTGTTCAAAGGACCTCTGCAGCGTTCTGAGCCTAGTGCAGTCTGCCAACTTTAACAAGGGATCAGACTTATCAGCTCTCCCAACAGTCTACTGCTGAATAAGCAGGTAGCGGCCATGACCAGGAGTGCCTTTTACCGACTTTGACTGGTTAGCCAGTTGTGGCCTTTCCTAGGCTGAAAAGCTGCGGTCGCTGTGGTGCATGCCCAGGTTACACCGAGATTAGATTACTGCAATGCACTGTGTATAGGGCTGCTTTTGAAAAGTGCTTGGAAACTTCTTCAGTTGATTCAGAATTCGGCAGCCAGGATGCTGACTGGAGTGGGTCATGTGGACCGTATCACTCCAGCAATGTCTCATCTACACTGGCTCCCAATTTCTTTCCAGGCCCAATTCAGGGTGCTGGTGTTGATGTTTAATGCCTTATATGGTTTGAAACCAGCATACTGTAAGGACTGCCTGTTCCCACATGGACCTACCAGACAGCTGCAGTCATCTTCTGAGGCCCTACTTCAGGTGCTCCCACCTTCTGAGGTTAGACAAGTGTCAGCCCAAGAGAGGGCCTTCTCAGTCATGGCTCCAAAAGTATGGAACTCCTCCTTCAGAGATGGGCTGGCATACAGATGTCCCATCAGTGAATCAGTCTCCTGGCCAAAGTTTTGTACTCTCATTAGCATAGCCTTCCAAAGCAAGGTATTGCTAGCACCTAAAATGGCTGCCAAAGTGAAAGAATTTAGAGTCCAGTGGCACCTTTAAGACCAACAAAGGTTTATTCAAGGTATGAGCTTTCGTGTTCTACTGCTTTGGACCAACATGGCTGACCACCTGAAACTACTGCCAAAGTTAATTTAGCCAAGATGGAGTTGGTGTAGACAGTCTACACCTAAATACAGTTAAATAGCCAGAAATTCAGTGTGAAACTTTCCCCCAATTGCATCTTTGTTCCAGAAATAGCTTAATATATAGAATTTCTCCTCTAATGTGGTGACAAATTACTTGCCACATATTGTTCAGATAGCTGAAAGAATTGAGCATTATATCTGTTTTAGGATTTGCTCTCCTTGGTGGACATCCTTGTTTCCTCACAACACAAGATATTCACCTGGGCATTAATGAAAGCATCACTGACACAGCACGGTTTGTAATAATCCTGTGACTCTTTCATTTCCATAAGGTGCTTTTTCTTTGTTGATGGTGCTCCAACTATTGTGGGCAGACTGCATCCTACATCCTACATTCTGTAAGCGGAAGAACCGATTCCCTTCCCAATAATACAATTCACATTTTAAAAGGATTAGATATCATTCCCAGATGTACCAGTTTGATGTGTAGTTTGAGACTAAATCTGAATTCAGACATCACAAACAGTTTGCATGTGATACACCTGAGTCTGGTTTAGTCTCGCATTCTCCTTCCGTCAGAGAACTGTAAATCTGATGGTAAATGTAGTATTGTTTTGGGGAGATGATGTTTCATCACAGTCTATTTTTGTGAAATCAAATTGTTTCTACAAATCTGATTTCTTGTATGTGGGAAAATGTGAACTTTTTTTGCCTGCTGTGGAAAACAGTGTGGAAAGTTGATGAATTTTTATCACAAAAGCAGCCCAAAGAGAAAAGGCTAGTCATCACAGCCCTGTGAACCTGTAAATCATTTTTTTTTAAAGTTTGGGAGGTCAGTCACTGATCTCTTGGCCTCATACGCTGTTTAAGCCTAAGGGCCAAAGTAGATGTGATGTTTAAAATGTGACCGCCACAGAGACTTGCAGTCAGCAGCTGCAAGTCTCCTGTGGGAACTCAGTTCCCAAGAGCTACATGAGCCCAGTTTAGATTGGGATCAGCATACAGGCAGAGGAGAGGCTTGTGCCTTCCCCCTAGTTTTCCTGATCCAAAATAGCCCCGAGGGGCACTATTTGCCCCATTGGGGTCAACACCTGCAGTATTTGTGCACATGCAGCCCCTAATGGGTCAGATAATGCCGTAGGGCCTTTTCAGGTTTGGAAAATGGCAGAAGGGAAAGGCTAAAGCCTTTCCTTCCTTCATGCCACTGTCATGATCCAATTTGGGCTCCTATGGTTCTTGGGAATGGAGTTCCCACAGGGATCTCGCAGCTGATGTCTGACTGCAAGACCCTGTGGTGTTCATGTGTTAAATGCCATGTCTAGTTTGGCCTTAAGAGCTGGGCACTGGACCAACCAGACTTGAAAAAATATTAAGGCTTAAATTTACACTTTCTAGTTGGATAAGAAGCCACGGGACATTTTGGTAACATTCTGGCAAGTGTACTTAAGAAGTTATTCAACAACACTTCCTTACAGAAATGTGGGATTATGATAAATTCACAGTCTCGTCTGATTTTTCTCCACAAGTTCTAAGCAAATATGGATCTTAAAAAACCTAGATTTCTATTCTCCAGTGTGAGTACATTTGGGGAATTCCCTTTAAATGAATTATTTCTTTCATACAAATTATTTAGAAACACAAGCTGTTCATTAAACTGTTCAAAATATAAGGAGACAAGGAGTGAGTTGTTCTTTCCTTTCCTTGTATATGATGGATTATTCAACGGGATTTTAAAAAATGCTTTAAATGTTAAAAATAAATTAAATGATTTATATTTAAATTTGCTCCACATATGGTGAATTATCCAGGCAGCAGAGATAATCTGATTTTATTAGGCTTGATTTTTATATTTATTTTGCATGTCTGCAGAGTATTGTCCAGCATGACAGATGCAATCCTGGCCCGAGTATATAAACAAACAGATTTGGAACTATTGGCACAAGAGGCCTCAATCCCAGTGATAAATGGACTCTCTGATTCTGACCATCCCATCCAGATTTTAGCCGATTATCTTACACTTCAGGTAATATTAGTTTGTTTTCCAATTAGTAGCATATTTTTATCAACCTGCACTCTGCTAAAGTAGGACATTTGGAGATTAATCCTAAATATTTCTGACAACTAGACGCTTCCAAACAGACACAGAAAGAGATATAGTCCAGCTGCCCAGAGTGGGAAGTGCAAACTGAGAATCCCCCAGTTCGTATTTTACTGAATCCCCACATTCACAAGGCAGCCTTAGCCAGGCTACTGTTTCCAAACTAATGCTCCCCATCCGTAACATTGGATGAATAATACCTTACAGGGCAGTTGTAAAGGATACTGAGATAAGGTCTGTTGAGTACTCCATCCCTCTGTAAAGTGTGAAGTAACTTCTTTGACTAGGTAAATCACAGAAGTGAAGCTATGAATGGGCATTCTTTTCTTTTCTTTTAATCCCTGGAGGGATATTTTTTATTTTGCAAATACTACAAAAACTACAAAGAAATATTAGGAAAGGGGCTACAACTAAGGATAAAGGAAAGCAAACCACACTAAACTAAAACCCCAAGAGGAGGAGATCTTTTCACTGTTAGTAAAATTGTTAGTACTATAAGTGTTAATATCACAATATACTTGTAGAGTTCTTGCTTATAACAATTCACTATTTATATGTTATTTTATTAGTTGTTATGAGAGAAATCTCTGATCATCTTCTTATTCTTCGCTTCAAAAGGCCATTTTCCAAGTCCTTCTGCCTTTACTTCGGCTTTCTGTCTCTGAAATCGTATACCACTCTGGCAGGTCCTGCACCCTTTTCTGCCGCAGAGTCCTCTTCCGTTCCAGAGGTAGCAGAGTCACTAGACTTCGTTTCTTCCTCTTTGGACTCTTCCTCTATCCCCAGCTGATGTCTCAAAAATTATTTAGTTTTAAAAGTGGAGTCTATCTTCTCTCTTCTATTGTTGATCTTAAAGATGACACCCTCCGGAACCGCCCATCTATACGATATCCCATGAAAAGAAATTAAGTCCTTGTAGTTTTTTCTCTTTTGTCTAATTTCAAATGGAATGTCCTTTAAGGTTTTAATGGTTACATTTCCCATTTTCAGTGGGGTTGCTGATGTTGCTTTCAAAATAGCATCTCTGGTTTGTCTTCTTGAAAACCTGACCACTATTTCTCCAGGTAGGCTATTTTTTAATGTAATTGGAGTATGCCCTATAGGCTAACTTCATTTCATTTACAAGTTCATCCACTATTAAGCCTACTACTGGAGCGATGATTTCACTGCGCACCCTCTTGAGGTCTTCCCGATCTGTTTCAGTAAACCCCTGAAACCTGAGAATCATGTTAGCTTTTTCCATCTGTAACTGCAAAACTCGATTCTCTTGGCAATTTTGCTTCGTTTCCACATCTCCCAACCTTTTCTTCAACTTCTTGTTTGTGGTGTCTATCTCTTTAATTTTCTCGTTTGCCTGCTCCACTTTTTTCTCTTTTTCGTTCAGCTGAAGCTGCTGTGCTGCAAAGTTTTTATTTTATTCATCATGGTCAGTTGCTGGTTAATACCATCGAGTTGTTCCATCACCGGCTTAAGCATATCCGCCAGGAGTTTGAGGACATCTGCTCCCTCTTCTGGTTTCGGACTCTGACTGCCCGGCTTTGTTTTAAACTTTCTCTGCTGGGCCGCCATCTTTCCCATTTTGTTTACAGTTTCTGCCGTTTCCACGCAACTCAGAAAACTTGTCAAACACTTCGCAATTCAGATAAGTCTCTCAACCCACTTTTGGTTTACTTCCTCCCCTCTCCCCCTTCGTGTCCGTTAACCACTCATTTGCATAAGAGGTGTCCCTCTTTGCAATCTCTTTTTTCAACAGCGGGGGGGGGGAATCGTTTTGCAAACTACTCCGTTTTATTCAGAACTCATGTTAATTGTCGGTCAGTTTCTCTGACCACGCTTAGTTTTACGCCATTCCGCTCAATCTCCGGTGCTTGTCCTGGTCAGTCCAGCTTATGGCCGAAGGCCACTCAGCAACTGGACCATCAGGGCAGAGGGGAGCCTCAATTCTCTGGCATTATGCCATCGAAGAGGCTACCCCTCAAAAGCCCCCTGGCCTGGAGCCTATCACAAAGGTTCCGCGGGGGTGTCACTTGAGGTGGCACCCCTCCAGGCCGCTGGTATGTGATTTGCCCTTCCCTGTTGTGGGGAGTGCGTCCGCCATCGCTGTTCCATAGACCGGAAGTCCTTGAATGGGCATTCTTTAGTGCAACAGCAATTATTTTGGTGGGAAAAACTTGAAATAAAATTGAGGACTCTGGTGTGCAGTCAACCTCTGTGAGCTGCTTATATGTGTGCTAAGTGCCATCAAGTCACTTCCAATTTATGGTGACCCTGTGAATTAATGTCCTCCAAAACAGCCTTGCTCAGGTCTTGCAAACTGAGGTCTGTGACTTCCTTGATTGAGTCAACCCATCTCAGGTTGGGTCTTCCTCTTTTCCTGCTGCCTTCAACTTTTCCTAGCATTATTGTCTTTTCCACTGACTCTTGTCTTCTCGTTATGTGACCAAAGTACAGTAGCCTCAGTTTAGCCGTTTCAGCTTCTAGGAAAAGTTCAGGCTTGATTTGATCTACAACCTACTTATTTGTTGTTTGGGCAGTCCATGGTATCCATAAAACTCTCCTTCAATACCACAGTGCAAAGGAATCCACTTTCTTCCTGTCAACTTTCTTTGTTCTCCAATTTATGTACCCATACATAATAATGGAGACTATAACATGAATTAACACATCCTTACACTTAAGAATCTTTTCTAGCCTTCTTCATGGCTGCCCTTCCCAGTCTCAATCTCCTTCTGATTTCTTGGTTGCAGTCTCCCTTTTGGGTTGATGATGGAACCAAGGAACAGAGAATCTTGAACAATTTCAGTTTCATCCTCAAAGTTGTATAATTCTCTGATAGTCATCACTTTTGTCTTCTTGATGTTCACCTGTAATCCTGCTTTGACACTTTCTTCTTTAACCTTAATCAGTAGTTGTTTCAAGTCTTCCCTATTTTCTGCCAGTAATGTGGTGTCATCTGCATATCTTAAACTGTTAAATGTGCCTCCCACCAGTTTTCACTCCACCTTCATCTAAATCTAATCCAGCTTTCCTTATGATATGTTCTGCATATAGATTGAACAGACAGGAAGATAAAATACAGTCTTGTCTGCCAATTGGAAACCATTCTGTTTCTCCATATTCTATCTTAACAGTAGCTTCTTGTCCAGAGTACAAGTTGCGTATCAAAACAATCGGATGTTGTGGCACACCCATTTCTTTTAAAACCAACCATAGCTTTTCATGATCCACATGGTTGAAATCTTTGCTGTAATTTATGAAACGCAAGCTGATTTTCTTCTGAAATTCTGTGATATGTTCCAGTAACCAACATAAATTTGCACTATGATCTGTAGTACTTCTTCCTTTTCTGAATCCAACTTGAACCATTGGCATTTCTCATTCTATATAAGTAACAGTCTTTGTTGTAAGATTTTGAGCATCACTTTACTCCCATGAGAAATTAATGCTATGGTCCAACAGCTGCTGCAGTCTTTGGCATCTCCTTTCTTCAGAACTGGAATGTAGATTATTTCCAGTCAGTGGGCCATTGTTTTGTTTTCCATATTTATTGGCATATTATTGTTAAGATGTTAATGTACTCCATTACTGTGGTTTGGAATAGTTCTACTGATATCTCATCTACTCCTGGTGATTTGTTTCTCCCCGTTGTTCTCCGTGCAGCTTTCACTTCACTTTCTAAAACTATACGTTCTTAAAAAAATTCTTCTTGGAAGGAATCTGTCATCCTTTCATTTCTTCTGTATAGTTCTTCTGTGTATTGTTCCCTTCTTATCTTTATTTTGTCCTGTTCAGTTAGTGTATTTCCATGTTGATCTTTCAGCATGCCTAACTCTGCTCAAAATTTCCCTTTGATTTCTTGGATTTTGTGGAACAGAGCTCTTGTTCTTCCTTTTTTGCTGTTCTCTTTCTTTACATTGGTTATTATAATAGTTATTTTTGTCTCTTTGTGCCAGTTGCTGGAACACTGCATTTAGACTCTTGAGCTGCTTAGAAAGAGGTAATAAGAAAAATCAAGATCTCATTAAAATGCAGAGTGAAAGAAATCTTTCACTGGTTTTCTTGGTCTGATAAATCCTGTGTTGTTAGAATGTATTTTATCACCAAGAGTTGACAGTTTTTCCAGTAATCACAAGCAGCTTGTGATTCTTATGCAACAGGTATGCTGTTTATTGCTTGCAGTGCTATATACCTCCTTGGATGCCTTCTTAGAGAGCACGCCAGACACTGTCTGAGAGGTCCATTATCATTCATCTCCCCCCACCCCCAGTTTCTGTGGTTCAGAAGGATAGACATGATGGATAGAAGTTAAGACTTGACTTCCATACATACAGAGGCCACTCAGCTTGGCTTGCTCCAGAACCTTTTTCACTTCACAGTCCACTCCTGCATACTATAGTGATTTTATACACACACACACACACACACACGTTTTGGTAACAGGCATGAGGAATTCATATGCAGCACTGGGTGCCTTCCTCCTGGTCTCCTGCTCTAGACAGGATGGAGCATCTGGGCCATCCATATATACACTGGTGCAGTCATAGGCGTAATCTTCAGGGGGGCGACGGGGCCTCAGCTCCCCCAAAAATTTTCAGGAAGGGGCTCAGCCTCCCCCGGGGGCAACTGGTTCCAGTCACCCTTGCTCCATTCTGCAACTATGTTCAGCGGCTGGGTTGGGACCGGGAGAGAGGGAAGTTAGGGCGGGGGCTTGCTTTCTCCTGGAAGTGAAGCCCCACCTTCAGCTCCCAGCAGCCCTTAGTTCTGCCGGGCTGCACGTGGAGTCTGGCTTTCCTGGTTTCCTGCGCATGCGCACAAAGGTAGGAAGCATGCTTGCCTGGGCTCTCCCTCCTGCTGAGTCCTCGAGGCGCATTCGTTCAGCCCGCCTCTCTGCCCCCCACACCCAGCTACCAGTAAAATCAGCACGG